CTAAAGTTTTACCCCCTAAAAGATTAATTCTCGCTTATCTTAAAAAAAATGGTGTGCACTCTCCAAATAGTTCAGTTTATTTAAATCAAAATTAAGTAAATTGAATTAATTAATTCAAATCAATTAAATATTTGGAGAGTGCACAATATTAAAATTCATAAAGCATAAATGATTTTTATTTATTTATTCATTCACTTATTTACTAATTTATTAAACAATTAATAGATAACATATATCTCTAATGAATGTTTACATTTCCAATGCAGTCAGTTTTAATTTTACATACTGAACATATCAATATTAGCTAAAGTTTTACCTCCTAAAAGATTAATTCTCGTTTAAATGCTGTTAATTTTTTCAAATTTAAAGTTATGTAATGACAACTAAATGACAAGGAAATACGTGTGAGTGAGGAAAATTTGACAAAAATTTCAAATTTTTAAATTTTTAAAACGAACTTTCACTATTGAAAATACCTTTTAAATTTCTACACTATATTGTTATTCATGTTTAAATGATATTACAAGCAAAAGACTGTAAATATTTGCAAAAGTTAGTAAATCAGAGGTCTATTTTATGTTTTTATTTAATTTTAATGCCTAAAAAACCTCATTTTAATATTTGTGAGTGAATTTCACTCAGAATAATTATGCATGAAATTACTTTAAACTGATGAATCTTCTTGATTCATTTTTATATTAAAAATAAAAAGTTTGAAAAATTCAAAACAAAATCATAACATTACGCAAAGCTTAACAAGTGTCATTTATATTATGATTATGAATCAAATCGCTTAATATTAGAATTTATATTTAATTTTAGTCATCAGAAATTAAATTTAAATTCATTTTAACTAAAAAAGAAAGAAAGAAACTACGCACTGCAATATATGAAATAGCTTGATCGTTTTTGATGATTTATTTAGTAATTAAGTAAATATTAGATAACATTATGAGAAAATAAAAATAACACAAGTAAACCTACTGTGAAGTAAGCCGTGAAAAATTGGAGCCAAGAGATGAATGTCGAGAGTATGGAGACTGCTCCAGATACGATTGCTCTTCTGCTGAACAGCACAATCCCATGTCATCAGCAAGAGCAGATTTATGCAGAATCAGTCTTTAGCAAGCTATTTCTTTTCAAAATTCAAAAAAATTGTTTAAAAAAAGTCAAAAAATAAAGATTATTCACTACCAAATTGTCCTATCAAATAGTATTTATCAGTTAAACCGAAGAAACTTCGTCAAATCATCGCAAAATTTGAAAATTAACTTAACAAAAAAGACTTAGTACTTTACAGCGTATTCAGATTTTCACTCGTATTGACTTTATTTAAGCCTTACAATTATTCAAATTTAATTCTCAAAATTGCTCGTTCGTTTCTAAAAAACACATTTAGTAGTACATTGATGTAAAAAAGTATACTCAATGAAAAGTTGTTTTAAAAGAGTTTTTCTAATGAAAATAATGCATAACTTCATTATTTTATTCATATCACAATTTCATTTTTTAAATCTAAAATTTTATTAGTTTAAATTTTTCAAAAGTACTTTACTATTTTCTAAAATGTTATCATAGATTTTCGTTTCATTTAGTATTTTTTGATTTGCATAAATTTTTCTTTTTTTAATTTAAATATTTAAAAATTCATTAGATTAGTATTGCTCATATATTTTATATTGGTAATTTGGGAAACGAACTAAAGTTATGGTAGAATTTTTAATAGCGAACTTAGCTTAAAATTTAGCGCTAAAATTATTCAGTCATTAATAATATTCATTAGTATATTAGGAATGAAAGCTTTTACAGTTGAATAGCATTTTTCACATGAAATAACATCAGTCCCGTTATCAAAGGTACTAACGCTTGAATAGCCGAAAATTTGCCCGATTTGATAGGGCAAACTTTTGGCTATTTAAGCGTTAGTATCTTTGATATTTGTTTTAGTATATATAAATAATTAGTTTGAAATCTTGAATTTTATTATTAGCAAAATAAAAATTGTAATTACAAGTTCGATTAAGCTAATTATTAAGTTATAAAATCATTTATAAATTAAAACAAGATTTCGAACTTATTATTTAACACAAAAAAGCAGAAATATACTTCTTGTCATTTGAAAATTTTTGAAAAATTGTTTACAAAATGGAAGTAAAAATTTGCATACCGCATAAAGCTTACAGCGCAAAGTATGAAATTCCATAAATCACATAAAATTTTCACCATTTTTCTATAGAATCTTTACATTTGCAATATTTATTCATATAAATAGTCTTTCATTACTTCAATAAGCGAAACCACTAATCTACAATTCTGTTCAAAAAATTATGCATAATACAATTAAGCTATCTGCTGCGACAGTTCACTCATTTCTGTTATCCATAAATCTGCTTGATTAGCTTTGTATATTACGAGCTTATCCCTCTGTGATTAATTAAGCGATATTAATTGGTACTTAAGAAGTAATCACTCAATTTTGTGCAAAACCCACTAAAACGTTAATTTTACTAGATTGTTTAAATTAAAATTGCTATTTCATACATCATTTTTCCTTCTTCATTTTTGCCATATTTATTATTCAAAGGTCTACTAAGATTTCAAATAATTCTTGATATTCTAGATGATATATTCAGTGATTTCAAACATAATTTCATTCGATAAAAACTGAGTTTTAATTTGTCTATTGTTGCAAGATGACTCCAAACAATTTAGCAACAAATTATAGTTCAAAATTACTTGACCAACAAATGTCTAGTAGTTAGTAATTACTGTATTAAAACTAGCTCGAATTTAGTTTGCCTGAAATTAGTATTTTGCTTGACAATCAAATAATTATTGAATATATATCATTTAGAATATTATGGATTATTGTCTTCTTAGCGTTACTTACTTAAATAAAATATTTGAATGAGTAGCAAGTATTAAATAAAGCAGTTCAGGGTACAAGGTACAGTGCTAATATCAATTGCGTTAGCGATTCTTAATATGTTTTACAAAGGTACAAGAGATTTTGTTATTTCAAAAAAAGGCCGTAAAATATTTACTATTGCATCATTATGTTTTATTATTTTATGATTTTTATATAATTAGTTATTGCTAAGTAACTGATTAATTGTACAGGGTTATGTTTGTTGATATTTCAGGAGTCATGCTAAATCGGAGAAGACGGCATCAAGTACCAACTTTTCTGGAAGGTACACCAGGTCGATATCTAAGGAGAGAAGCGCCTCTTTCGTTGCCGACTTGTAACGGTCAGTGATAAGTATTATAATTTTATATGTTTCTTCTGTTTAGAGGTATGTGGACAGGAATCAAACTGTGTGCTATCTTTAGTCTACTTGCATATGAATTTTTTGCTGAAAGATATCGTATGTATTGTCAGTTTCAAATTTTGGTTGTAAAGTGAAATTTATTTAAATTTTAAATCTCGATTGTCGATTACCAACTCATTACATTTACTTATTAAGGTAATTTGAGTTCTGCAGAAGTTAGATTAAGGCTTTTATTTATCACTGTTTTTCTCAAAAACCGATTAGTACGGAATGAATACACAGAATGCTCTAATAATGTGGGATTATCAATGAAAATAGTGACAAGATTTTAGGTGTAGTTCAAGGCAATCAACAAATGGCTCATTCATCTCAAAGCTTACAGCACGTCGAATGTGATGTCAGTAGCAGTCGGACGCAAGGAGGATCTGGCCGAACGAAGCCAGAATTATCCTCTCAGAGTTTCAATGAAAGTCGAACATCTAATCAGTATTTGTCAAAAAGAGGTCTTACATCGTCACTTAGCATTGGGAACGTTGTGCAGGTTAAATGCATCAGTTATAATTATTATTATAAGTTATTTTTTTCCGTTTTTTTAAATAATGTAATTGACAAAATTATTAGCATTAAAACTTTAGCATGGGACGCAGGCAGTAGGTAATGAAAATAATGGACAACGTATGGTATCTGTTTCTTTGCAAAGTTTGCCAGGTAATGTTAAGTAATTTTGGGTCACATTCATGTCTATGTGTTTCTTACTATGACATACACTCTGGGATTAATTTTAGGTATTTTTTAGTGAAAAGTTTTTCTAAGCACGAAAATTATTCACTCCACTAAAATTTAAAAAAAAATTATGCTTTCAAAGTTTTCCAATAATAACACAGTTCGTTAAATAGGACGTTCTATAAATGCATCATTTGTTGATGAAGGCCTTGCGGTCGGAGTTACAGCGGAAGACCTCGTACTTCCTCCTAATTGGGCTGTCGAAGTAACACCAGAAGGAATAAGGTATTTTATATATCAATATTTACTATTTGTTGAGGATGATGTTTTGCAGTTCTCTTTAATAGTGAGTAAATTTTTTTTGTTTATATATGGCATCTGTTTTTCCGATTTTTTTTGGACTTAATAACATTCTTACCTTGAAATAATTTAGTCAATTTTAAATGTTTGTTTTGTGAGATTATGTGATTCTTTTAGGTTAGAGTCAATATTTGAAAGTTTTCATTCATTTTCTTTATTACATATATTACGTTGATCATAATAATCGACGAACTCATTGGATTCATCCGTTAGTGAAAGAAAATTTGCCGTTGGGTTGGATAAAGCAGTTTGATGCTGTGAACGGAGTGACATACTATAAGTAACTAAATTTTTCTTCTCACTGGCAATAAATTTTTTTTTTAAAATTATTTTTACTCTTTTTTGACTGGGTTAACTTTTTTTTCGTCAACAGTGTGAACTCATGAAAGATTGTCTTTAGTGAATTAGATGGACGAACACAACTAGAGCACCCAGGCTTGGCAACACCAGTAAGCTGTACTCAAAATAATTCTACAGCTCATTTAACACAGCGTGCCGAAAGTACTATTGAAAATTTAAATATTATTGGAGAAGGTGTGTTTATATTCATAAACTCGTTGTTAGTTATAGTTCACCGGAAAGGGGATCGCTCCAAAATAGATATTTTTTTTTCGTTCTTATTTCTTGCATTTTTTCTGTAATAATTTTTTGTTTCTTGTTTGCAGATATTCCTGATTGGATCCGTTTATACTCTCGTGCCCCTTATGAGCTTGACCATTTGTTAGAAGTTTGCATTTCAGTTGTTATTAAGTTTAAAACGGAATTAGGCTAAAAAAATGCGCATCGAAAAAGACAGTCGTTTACTGAAGTTTTTTATTTGAAAAATTCAAAAAATCTCAGAAGTTGTTGGAATATATTTTTAACTCTCTATTTCGCTCATAAGAATCTTTAATTGTCATCGAAGTTTGACAGAGATATTTTTAGTATTTTTTTAAACTTCAGTAAGAATGTTTTCATCGAAATGAGATGAACTAATCTCGTGAAATTATTGCAGTGGACGTTATTTCGTTTACCGCAGCTACAACAGTATGATAGTCAACTGATGAAATTATATAAGCAGGAATGCATTGATATTGCTATCAAATATGAACGTTTTCGGCTTGAAATCAATCGAGAAATCGCCCGACGCCAGCAGAAATTTATGGTGCCTATCGCCGTCCTGCAGCAGTAAATTGCAGCGTACAGAATTCTTTTTTTCTAGCCATTACATTTAGTTGGACTCACTGTATATTTGAAGAGCACTAGTTCTTGTAGATTTGCTGCATAGCTAGAAATCTTAGAATTGTCGTAGGCTCCATTCTAGTAAATTTATATGTGTGTATCCAGTGGAAAAATTTTACCTGGAAATGATGTGAACTCAGCTGCAGTAACTTTTTAGGTTGACTACGAGTAATACTTTGTGAAATGTTTCTATGCTGTTTTTACGTCAATTTCAAATTAAATTTTACACTAAAGGGTTAATATTTTTTAAGGCCTTCTATAATAGATGCTTACCTGTAAATTATTTCTATAAAATATTTTAAAATGTGCTGAGAAAAACTTTCTCATGTTAGATATATTTTTGTTACTTGTAAATATATATATTTAATAAATAACTCAGGTTGGATGTCAGTTTTTATAAATAAAAAAGTCGTTAAAATATTGATGTACATATTTCTTTACGGGAAACTACGCTGTAAAGATTATAGACAGTGTTGAAATAGTAAATCCTACTTTTCTGCAAGCGGAGAGATAATTTATGTATTTTTAGTTCTTAATCTTATTTTGGTGCTAGTAGAGTCACTAGTTTGTCAGAAGCTAGATTTCTGAAATTGTCTAGCGTTGCGTCCCATCCATCAATATTTTCTAGCGTAACGGTAGTGGTCTTGCCTTATTTATATATAAAACGTTCTCATTGCAGTTTATTATGCATTTGTTTTTGAAGTGATTGTGAGCAGGTCTCTCCTATTTTCATTCATAATTTTGTGCAGTCAGGTCATGGTTTTGCAAAATTCTTGCTGTCGTCATGAATATTATGATATTGTCTGCGTATGTCTGTAGCTGATACTGTAGAATACATACAAAGCAAAAGTATAGTTTCAGTCAGAAAAGAACGCGTACATTTATGAAGTATCCTTACGTCAATATATGTAAATTAGTGCAAATTGGAAGATGACTTCTATAGACGCTTATCTTAAGTTAAACTATCATTCATTTGCAGCAATGAACAGGTTGTTAGAGGCAGTCGCTATTTGAAACAATTACAAAAAATTTGAAAACATTCATCAGAGAAGTTTTCTCAGGTGGTACTTACATAAAGTCTGTGGTGCTTTCCATAATTTGCATTCCCTCCATAAGTCATACGCATACTTTTAGACAATTTCAATCCAATTCTTCCGCTGACAAACATTCTATACATAAACAGTAATCATTTATCAGATACTTTAGCATAGTTGTCTCAAAACCTAATCATGGGCTCACTTTGCAAGCTTATAGAAGCAAGAAATAGTTCCTTCAAATTACGATCAGAACGCAAACAAAGTTTACAAATATGAAGCAAGACGAAAGCTTTGTTGTCATTTTGATCGCCACTTCAAAGCCTTAGGTACCATCTAATGATGAGAAAGCTTAAAATGCCGTAATAGTAGAAGTATTCTGTCATTTTAAAAGTCCTTAGGTTACAATTTGAAAGAAAAAAGGACTCTTTTTGACTACCATCGAAGGCTTGCAGGTGGAAAGTTGTCATTAATGAAAGATCATGGGAAAATGAGAAGATGATCCTTTAGCGTTTTCATATTGAGACAGTATTTTCCTAACAGCTATCTCTGGTTTGAGTATCACTATACAGAATACTTTAAGAAATTTCAGATATGTTTGTTGTAGATTGCAATCTGTTGCCATTCGTAGTTCACAATGGTTAATTCGGAACCAGAAGAATCGCTAAACGACATTTATCCTTTTGAAAATTCGCATAGATGCCAAAATGATGAATCGGAACCTTCTTTATCTATCATTTCCTCATCAACTGTCGATGAGAATCTGAAGGATGCTGACGGAGATATGGATACAGAAATAAACGACATTGTACCATCGCTTATTGACGTATTTTTACTTATTTTTTGAGACCATTAATTTCATGGCTTTTTTGTTTTTTTCTTATTAATAATTAGTGAGCTAAACATCTGCTTCCTTCATCTTTTTTATAGTTTCAGAATAACTGAATTAACCAATGATCAGTTTTGTAAGAATTAGGTGCAAACAATAAAAATTTTTAGCATGAACGTGTTTCTTGTAATAACATATCCATAGTTTTATATGAATTGTTAAATATTTAGAGTTTATAGTATTAAACAAAATTATTTTGGAAAGAGATGATTCTTTGTGGATTAATGCATCCTCAGTAAAATTTTTTGAAAACATTTGATATTACAACTACTATAATATCAATAAAAGAAATTGAGTTTTGTTATGTTATAAACGATCTCTTGCATATTTTAAGTTTGTTGGTCAGTCGCAGTTGATGGCTGAAATACGCGATAATAAGCCAAATTTCAAACTTCCTTCTTATTGGGATGATGACAATGATTGTGACATCATTGTTAAGGATATGTCAGATCCGAATGAACAGGTTTTGACAGCAGCTGAAAACGGTGATATAGAGTTGCTCAAAAGTTTGATCAATGATTGTCCTTCATTATTATTGGTTTGCCTTATATTCTTTGTTCTAGGAAGTAATTTTTTGTCCATTGAATTACAACATAGTCAACTATTTGTTGAATAACATGACTATACACTTATTTGCAACACAAAATTACTTTTCAAACGAAATCAGTGCCAGGCCTTCCATATATGTTATTTCTTTTAGTTATTTTTTAAAATGAGTTGAGAATATTATTTCGAAGTTTGATTTAGTAAATTTATTCAATAAGCAAATTTCTGCAACCAACTAGGTCCACTTAATTTGCCACTAAAAAATTTCAGCATACAAGCTATTCATTTCTACTTTTTGTGCGAAAAAATCTTTCGGAAAGCAGTAAATACGATTATTTGATAGGCTCGTGATGCTGATGGTTATACTGCATTGCACCGAGCAGCTTACAATGGGCATCTAGAGGTTGTCAATTATTTATTGTCAATTGGAGCTGATCCAGAATGGAAGACAAATAATGGTTGGACAGTTTTGCATTGTGCAGCAACATGGTCTATGTATGAAGTTGTGGCATTAATTCTTCGTCACAATGTTGATGTGAATAGTCGATCAAATGGTAATCTCACACCACTTCATTTGGCCGTCAGCTCTAATCAGCCAGAAGATCGAGTCCTTACAACTGTTCGTTACCTTCTTGAAGCACCAGGTTCTTCACACACCATTAAATATTTATTTGTAGAACATGAGAGAAGAAATAATTTCTTCAAGCATCATAATGAATTACTGCAGAATTAGATGAATTTCGTAACGCTTTCACGTTAGAAATTCAGTGCATAAGTTGAAAAGTCTGATAAGAACAGTTTAGATCTGTATAATTCTGATGATGTTTAGGTATCGATGCCGCTATAATATCGAATTCAGGTGATTCGCCATTACAATTAGCCAGAAGAATGTCAGGAAAAGTCACAGAAATGCTTACTCTTTACTTTAGCAAGCCTTAGTAGGGTCTCGATTTTGATGATTTAACGATTCATTTCTCAAATAAGAAAAGAAAAAAACAAAATAAGCTATAGTCTGATTTCACAAATTTTTGACGTGAATGTGCTGAATTTTTTCATTTTTTTATATGAATTTTAATATTACGTCAGTGAAAATAATTCTAATTGAAGAATTATTGTATCTCAAATGGTTTGATAGATTTGAAAAATATGTTACAAGCAAGTATTTCGTTCAGAGGGGTTCTACTGTATGCCAGAATTTGTTTTTCTCTATGCACACTGCTCTTAATTTTATTTGATACTCTGAAGTATCTATTTGCTTTCAACACATTGTAAATATTTTTGTTCTTTAATGATTTCAAATATGATCGTAATGTTTGGCGCTCGTTTGTTTATGTATTCCGATGTCCATTGCTGTTTAAAATTTTGGGAACTGTGAATAATTAATTTCGGGTCTAAACATTTTTTAATTAAATACTCTCTAATCAAGTTTTAGATTTACTTGAAACTGGTCATTTTACTGCGCCTGCATTCTATTTATGTTACATTTGTCATTGTTCACATAGGCTTTTTAGGAATCTTGCTTGTATAGTGTTGCTCTCATTGTACTAAAGTTATGGTGCAGTGTCTTCAGTATTTGGTTACTGGTTGGTGAAAAATTCAATGAAGTTGGTGCTCTTTTTTGTCTTAGAAGTTTTCGAGTTTCGTGATAAGTTCTTACTGAATGCTTACGTAAGCTTGTGCGACTCAATTTCATGTAGAAATTATGAGTGTTTCTGCATAATTTAGAATTGTAAATCTAACATGGAAATCGTGCTTTGAAGACTTTCTTTATGTTTAAGAACAGAATAAATATTGGATAATTGGAGTTTTCAAAAAAAATATATTCGAATAACTCTACAAAGTAATTTATTTTTTACTGTAGGGTAATGTTTCTAGTTCGTTTGTGCAAAATTTTAGGAGTGTGTGGTGTTACGATGGTAATTCAACAGAAGTCAGATGCTGTCGAAGGTTGAGAGTTGCTACTAGTATCATAATTTTTGCAATCACTTTTCAATTGCTGTCAGTCTCTCTTTTTAGATAAATGAATACTGCGGATGAACTTGGAAAGCTAGAAATTTTAAGTAATGTCAGTAATATATCAGGTTTGTTTTCATCTATGGAGAAGAAATTTTAAACATTCTAATTATCGCCGTTGACAGTATGTCGTCGCTGCACTCATTAACATGATAGTAATTTTCGAATTGATTAACAAGTATATCAAACTTTTTTTAACTAAATATTCTACCAAATGTCAGGTATATAAATATATGATTCCGAGAAAAAGACATGTCTTGGAAAGTTGGAGAATGTTGATTAATCTGAAATTATGACGTGAAATCTCTAGTGATTTGTACATTCACACCACTTGATATTTTTAAATATTATTCTAAAGATATAATACCTATTAATTTTTTTACAATAAAATGCTCAAGGTTTATTAGCTCTTCTTTTTAAATAATTAAAGTTAGCATTTTCATGGATGATAATTGTTTGTTAGATACTTCTGAAATCTTGAAATTAATTGGTATTTAAGTTTCTTTTTCTAATAATGTTTGAAGTCGGCTATATTTTGATCAAACAATTCAATTTTATTGATTATTTTTAGATTCTATCTTCTGAAAAGTATAACTTGATTACTAATGCGTTTGAAACGTTTTGGAGCATATGAATGTGCGAATATCTTTGGAGTTCTTTATACCTTATTACTAATTTTTGGCATCTACTTTTTGATATTGTTTTACGCATGTCCAGCAACGTATCATGCAGATCAGTGTGCGCATGCTAATCGTTATGGCATCATTATAATTGTCGAATTATTAATCAACTTTTTTTTATTCATCTCGTATAGCAGGTACTGTTTTTTTCTCAGATTCACAGAATGGGTTTCGTAAAAAAAATGGCTATAATTAAAGTGCAAATTGATCTCACTGTTTTAAAAGATTTGTTCTATTATTTGTATTGCAGAAATGAATTTTTCAAAATAGACGCGTAAAGCACTATATTTCCAATATCGTTTCAAAGATATTTTGAATGAATTTGAATCTTTCAGTATTCAAAAAGAAATTAACTTTCAAATTCTAAATGTTGTTGGCAAAAGGGAAAAAATTCTTGAGAAATTGATGATTGACTTAAGATTGATGAAGGCTTATTTTATAGACGTAATGATCCGCAACGCTGGATTCAGAATTCAACTATTCTAACAACCTTGAAAGGTGCAAGTAAATTTTGTTTGGAATGTAATCGAATGGCACCTTTGCGAAGTCATCATTGTAGGCTGTGCAATATGTGTGTTTTAAGAAAAGATCATCACTGTTTTGTTACCGGTGCTTGTGTTGGAATCGCTAATCAGGTATTTTGATAAATATTAATGAATGTTACTTTCAGCATCAGCTTACATTAATATATATAAGTTCACGCTATTTGCTAACATTGCGTTACTTTCACTTTAACTTTATAAAAGCTGATACTCTACCATATATTTTAAACATGTTACTTATATATTAATGTAAGCAAATATCGTGAAGTATTGATAGGTAATTTTGATGTTATTTTCTATTTAATCGTGTTATATTTTATATTTTTGTTGTTCATTGGAATATCTCTTTATTCAGATATTCTATATGATACTTCCGTTTAATACATTTAGCGTTTTTTCATCGTCTTTGTTCTTTGGGCAAGTGTTGGTAGTGCTGTTGGATCATTTTTCATTCTTGTTTATTTATTAAAATATATCGAGTTTGCAATCTACCCATTTGGTTGGTTGAAATTATTGGCACCTATTGCTATCGTTCGATGGCTTATTTCATACGAGCTATTTTTGAATGCAGCGTTTTGCGTGCTTCTCAGCATTTGTACTGCCACCTGCATCGTTGCATTAATTTTTTTTGGGTCACAGGTGAAAGCCTTTTTGATATTTCATTCTTATTTCTAAGAATTTTAATTCTGTAATATCTGTATTGTGAAGGAATAAAAGTTTACACTAAAAATTGTTTTAGTTTTGAATGAATTTATAGATGTTCTATACGCTGAATGGATATACGATGTATGATTATCACACACTAAGCCGCAAAATTGAATTGCGAGGGGACGGTGCGACTTATTCTGAAAGGTAAAATCAAGCCTCCAAAGGGACTTGATTCAAATTTATTATTTATTTCTTTATTACATGAATTGATTATGACCTGAAATACGCGCTACTAAGCACTGGAAAATGGAAATATGATGGAAGTAGTTAACGAATAAAAGTTGTTATAGACTTAATTTTCTTGGTTCTCATTGCCAGTTGGAGGAGAGAGTTGATGTTGAATAAAGGATCTTGTGATTAATTAGGAGAGATCCAAGAACGCAATAAGACTCGTTGCTTTATTTATTTCGGTCACTGCTGACTCTCTCATAGCACTCACATGAACTCAATCTTGCGATTTACTTTTAAAAGCAGTAGATTTATTGATGTTGTTGGATCATAAATTTTTGGAATGCTTTGTTTTACAATAGTTAAAATTCGAGATGAATTCATGCGCCTTTGAAAATTCGAAAATTCTTTCTGCATCTTTTACTACTCGTTTATCAAGTACAGTCACTTTAGATCTGCTATTCATGATAAAGTAATATTAAAGTCAATTACGAACATATACTGTAACCTTACGACAATTGTGGTAAGATAAATAACTTGTCATTTCTTGTAATGCTGAAGAGAAATTAGATTATGTACTAATATTACAATTCTACTTATATTTCTACCATCACGTGCAAGCAATACTTCGTATGACAAGAACAAACTTTAAATACGGAGCTATCAACAATGTTTTGTTTGTAGATGATAAAAATGTGTATCAATAATTTGAACCTTTTGCAGACTTCATATGGTATTCGGACATTACTGGCTTATAAACTTCATCATACCACTGCTTTGTTGTCCAAATCAATTAACAGCTGATGTTGCTCAGAATTTATTCCCTCCTTATTCCAAAGACTTATAATTAATATTATTGGGTGATACATTACATTCAGATCGAGTAAGGTATCAAATCTACTGTTTTCATTTAATGAAAAATACACAAGCAAACTCAATGGTCACTGACATCGTAGACACTGTATATAAAAGTTTGAGTTCATATTTGATTATAGTCACAAGCAACAGCAATGTATAATTTCAGCAAATAATAAACACTTTAAATTCATTAAGATAAATTTGCTGTTGATTGAAATGAAAATTAATGAAAGCTATGGAACATATTTTATGCAAAACTTTCATAGTGATTTAAGGTAATCCACCAAAGTTTCTATATCACGCCTTCCTTCGCCGCGCAAATATTTCTAAATAATGTAAATATAAACAGGAGAATCCACTCATTTAAAAACAGCAAGTAATACTTTTATTTCTCACGAAATCTAAACCAGTATAGTTTTTATTCTTAGAGAAATCAATTATGTTTAAAAAATATATTCACTAACCTCTGTATCCCACAAAAGATCTACGATTATTTCATCGTTTGTTTCGTCAAGTTCAACATTTGATGATAAATTTGGTGAGAAACGGAAAAATGGAATAGATTTTTCGTGAGCCCAACAACGTCCTCGTACTACACACGCTCCATTAGAAGCCGTGATCTGTAGAAATATATATAATCTAAATATCGAACTATTAGATGAATTATCATTATGTGTACCGTATTAAATGATGAACTCTTTAGACGTATACATTTGAACTTTAAAACAACACTACTCTTGGTTTCCGCGGACTATTTGAATGGAATTTGAGAACATATTGCCACACATTTATGAACTACATCAAATGACTGGGTTTATGCGTGATCATTCTTGGATTCTTAATATCATAATTCATGCATAAAGAACATAGACTCTAAAAGTTCTTATGATGAGGGTTGAACAAGTGACTGAAGGGTAAGACATTTTAAATTTATAACAAAAAATAAAGTTGTTGCTAACATAAGCATTAGAAAATCAGTCGTTCGTACTCTTACAATTGTTATAAAAGGGTTTTGCTTAAGAAAATGTTTAAGAATTTAGTTTAAAGTGGAGGATTAGTTTCTAGCTAAATACTACTTAAAGTGCTTCTTATAACGGGGGAACTGAAACTTTGAACAATTTCGAAGGAAGTTCAATGAATATGCGTATAAACTTGCTTGTTGTAAAAGAAGACTTTTCAAAACCATCAGATCTCGAATTGCTGACTTCACTTCAGAGACATTTCTCGGCAAATCAAAATTCAATTTTAAACTTTTGATAACTTCGATCGGTGCTTGACCAGTGCCTAATGACAATATACAGCCAATTTGTACCGGCTCCTTTTTCTAAAAAAAAGAAACCGCTGCTCAAAATAAATGCCAGTATTAGCCTCATTATTATTTTCCAAGATAGCCTGGATTTAAAGTGTTGAGAATAAGTTAGTATAAGCATATCTGAAATCATCTTGAGGAATGTATTTTTCAAGTACATGTCAAATTTCTGCAATCAAATCATTTTTCTAATATTTTTATCTGCGAAAGATCGTACCGCTTTAAGACATGCAGCGTTATAAAAATGGACATCTGACATAAGATCCAGAGTTGGATTGTTTGACATTAATCCACCATCAACAAAATTATCCTTGGGTGTAAAATATGTTGGTGCAGCACTGAAAAATATTTCCTATAATTTTTTCCTCTACAAGAGAACAGTTTAACTTATGTGCTTAAACACTGTTTCCATTCTCAACGCTTCTTCTGAATTTGAAAAAACGAAAGTTGACTCCAACAAAACTGCATATTAAAACAGTGGTGGTCACTAATGAATACATTATGCGAATGTTTTATACAGAAATGATTTTAGATGTAGTCCCAGTTCACTGATGTATTATACAAAAATTATTTTATTGAACCAGTCATCGATTCGATGACAATAACTCTACAGATTTATTACAAGAACCTTTCAGTTTTTATAAAAAAGAGCTTATATAAGTCTTATAACAACAATGCTATCAAAGTAGAAGCTTTGTGCAAACAATTGCCTGAAATCTGTGTTCATATGATATTTAGAACTTTGACATTTTAGAAATTAGATGACCAAAATCCTAGAAGCGAAATTTTCAGCTCACTAATCATAATCATAAGTGGAAAACTTACACATTGATGGGAAAATATCTTGAGAATGTTTTTATCCTTATAAAAAAGCTTTAATTAATGTTGTTACCATGAACTAATCAACTACAATAGAAGTTTGAAGCGAAAATAGTTATCACTTTACCTCGTATATCGAGCACACTTCCATATTAAGTTTTTAGACGGATCGTCAAATCCCAACATTTTATTTTCAGCTTTGCTGAGTGGTAAAGTATAGTTGCGAAATAACTTTAATTCCGGTGGATTTGTTTGAACGGAAGAAGCGAATACAACAACTCTAAAAAAAATTATCTTTACTTGTTCGACACTAAATAGCTTTCGTACCATAAATTTTTTCTAGAGAAAAATCCCAGTTAATATGTCTATACAATATTTATGAAATATCACTTTACAAATTATAAAATTTTGTAAATAACAGAAAATTATGGAAATGAGAAAATTTGACGTACAAAAACAAAGAATAATTTATCAACAGGCCGGTCCTTGCGTTTCCTGTGCTTGAAAACAAAAAATATCTCGAATAAAATCACTATTAAATTTGGTAATTTTAGACTGAATAATCAACGCATCCCTTATCAATCTCTTACATCACAGATTAAGCAACAAAACAGATGGAAGAAAGCAGTTCGAAAACAAAATATGAGCGAACTTTCGATGTGTTAATTGTGCCATCGTTGCTCCTTCTCCGAAATTTTGTTTAAAAATGTGTTCGATTAATTTTTCTGAATATGGTCGTTCACCCACAAAAATTTCATCTTTCATTTGTAGATAAAGACGTTGACAACGTCTCAGCGAGTAGCCTGCAAAAAAGAGTCGAAAAACAATGAAACATCAGGTAGAATATCATATTTACAGTACTCAGGGCATTTTTTTGCTGGTCCTTAAAGAAAGATATCTCAATAACGTCAAATACTTTTACAAACAAAAAAACCTTTAGCCAAAGCTAATGCAACGATTGCTCCAGTACTCGTTCCACCTAACCAATGAAAGTAATCCATAACGGAACGACCCAGCAGATTTTCAATATGGAGCAACGTCTTAAATATATTTACTTTGACAACAAAAAACTCTGGCTCAATTACCGACATTAAGAAGTCTCTAAAAATATCAGCATGAAGTGAAAAAACTTCAAAAAATTCATAGCATCTTGATATGTATTAACTCCTGGATCCTTCTTATGTTACCAGTCAAATCATTCAAAATAAATATCAAATATTGCATGGAGGAATCCACTATCCTTATCTTTACAATAGGTTAATGTCAGTTAAAATGATAGAATCGCGATCATTGCATGCTACCTTTTTAACTTTCCAATTCAAATGAGCTTTCTTTTTGTTATCATAGCATTTTTTGAGATCCCGTTAAACAAGAATCATGTTAAAATTTCTCAAAAAATACCTGTAGAATTACAAGACCTCTTATTCCACCACCATCCAAACTCATCACATTCACCAGCTTTCGCTTATTCTCTGGTGTCATTTGATGTCGAACCTCCAAAGCTTTCTCTTGCATACTTTCAGAAAGTGCTAAAATTTACCTTTACATGAAGTGAAACATTTTGATGACTTTGATCAAAATATCCATGAAAACAGCGGTAAAACATATGTTCTGAAACTTGATACACTTATACATTCAATAGGATCTTTGAATTTTTCATCAGAACATCGTAACTCTTTGGGAAATTTAAAAAGTGAAGCTTATTCAGTATGCATATTCCCAATCAACATACAATTATTAATAGATGGATGATGAGAAGGTGTTTCATCGCAAAGAAACTGTCTCAAACAATCCATGACTACAAAGCTAAAATTGAACTAAAGTTTGAAATATTTCCTAATGAATAAACAATGAAGTTACCATTTGAAAAAAGAATTTACTACAAACCAGTCATATAATGTACATAAAGATGCAGTTTTATACGAATGATTTTTCGTAATATGAATACTTTATCAATTTAAAGACAGTGAACATGCCATATCGAAATAAATAATGTGAAATAGCATCAAAAAATATGAACCTCCTTTCACCAATATCTATTGGTGCTACTCCTTGTACATTTTTCAGAAATAATGATGCACCAAAACATAAAAGCAGCTTGAAAAGTTTGACATTTTGGTTCTGCAATGCCAACGAGAATATATTTCTTCAAAATTAAGATATTTCACATTTTGAAATAGCCAAAAAGAAATCATAAAATTGAATTTCTGCAGCCAAAAGAAAATATAGAAATTTTTTCACATGGTGACTAACATTTGGTAGAAAACAGAAACATATACGTATCAAACATATCTGAAGTATAATTTTATCGATACTTTTGATGATATAATTAAATGTACTTTATTGCTGAATATAAAATATGGTTTCATATAAGAATAAGTAATTTTCAGATGAGGAAAAAAAACCTTTGCTGCTATATGAAGGGGTGTATCACCATTACAATCTGCAATGCTTACATCAGCATTGAAACTGAGTAATGCTATACTTTGAGACAAATCATTTCGAAGCACCGCACAAAATAACGGTGTTCTACCAGTTAAATCCCGCGCATCAATATTTAGCATATCACCAACTAATTCCATAATGTGATAAAGCAACTGAATTTTCAACTTGTTTAAATGATTATGAAGTATTTTTGAAAAGCTGTGAAACTCATGATCATATAGCAATATTGCGATAAAAATTGCAGTTAAAGAAACTTGATACTTTTTGAAAATCTTTCATAAATCAAAATATTTCAGTATTTCATTCCAGTGATATACTGAAATATTTTTTTCACAAAATTACAAAGATACACACTTTCATTTCTATTCTTTGATGAAGCACAGTCGATGAACCATCTATCTTTTCAGCCAGAAATTTAGGGGAGTTCATTACTAATAAATCAAGTATTCTGCAACAGAAAATATTAGTTGCAAACGAAAAATCTGATCACTGATTTAAATTCCATGGCCAGTCAAACAATACTGCAAAAAATCAATATCTATTTACTAACCGTGAAAAGTTACAAACAATTAAACATTTATATACTCATAAGACTGAACTTGTTTCACTACATGTAACTAAAATTGTTACTAATAATTCAACAACTAAACCTATAAGCAACCATTAACGTGAAATCATAGAATACTAATGCCTTGGCTTCTGGTGCTTGAGGAAAAAGCTCATGTATAAAGGGAAAAAATTACTGAAAAATCAAACAGTTTTTTGTCTGAATGCTTATAAGAACATGAATAAAAAAAAATCCTGATGAGCAGTCATGAACAAATTTAAACGTTAATTACAACAAAATAATTTTTTACAAAAACACAACGAAAGATGTACTTTAAAAACAAAAATAGTACAGGATTTTGAAGTCGAACAAGTATTTTAAGGACAAATAATATCAAAAAAACCAACATATAAATAACCTGGGCATGTCAGGAGATGGAATAGCTTCAGTCATTATGGTTAATAACGAACCACCTGGGAACGGTCCGATAGAACAATTTGCATTCAACAGAATTTCTACACATTTAACATTGGCTGATGAAACTGCAAGACAAAGTGGTGATAAGCCATCACCATCAATACTATCAATAGCATCCATAAAATCCGGTGCATTTAGTAATAGCTAAAAATTGCGGCGATAATTTACGATAAAAACAAGACAAATGAAGTCACAAAGTAAAAGCAGAATTTAAGCAACATTAAAATGATGCACCTCCAGAACTTCTGAACTGTTTTGCGCTGCATAATGTACAGCATTTCTAAGTTGACGATCTTGGTTTGCTGTGAGAGCACCAAGGCTTAACAATACCTGAACCGCTTGTTTGGCATTCTTCTCAGCTGCAATATGTAATGGATACTTGCCACAGGCGGATTGTTCATTAACCAGGCTGAATAAAATAAATGAAACTACAACCAGTATAAATTAAAAACCAAAATCACTAAAACCAGTGAAAGCAGAATAGACAAATCCTTAATATCTTGATGCAAGTTACAGACGCATTGGATAAAATTCACAAAAAATTCTTTCTTAATTTCCAAGAGTTTGTCCACATTCATTTTTAATTTGATCTGTTTCAGAGTATACCGTAATACCGCCACATTTAATCACTCTAAATTACATTGCGTAGGTTTTTAACCAGCTAAGAACCTGCTACAATATCTGTATAGAACACTGAACCTTATATGCTTTTTATTAATTAAATTTCTTTAATGAATATATTGTAATCTAGAAACCTTGAGTTGTTTTCACACAATCTGATGATTACTCTAGGATAATTGCACGAAGCTGCATGATGAATGTCATAAAAGTCTGGATTCTGTTGAACTGAATCACGTATATGTTCTAATTGAATCATGAAACTTTTGGAGTTGACTTCCTCTGAAAATTTTGGCTAAAAGTGGTATTTAAAAATATACTAATTCTGTTCTCGCAAAATCTATATTATAACAGGAAACAACAAATATTATTTAACTACTAAAAACTTTACGATGTAATAAGTTATTACTTAGTATATTACTTAGTATATAATACATTAATATTACATCAGCTTTGCTTACAGTAGCTTGTTTAAATATAATTACTATAATCTAAATCCTTAGCTAAAACTGAGAGACACTGCAGTACTTAGTAGTTCACATGCATAATACCTACCTAAAGCGTTCATAAGTGCTTTACGATTATTTAATTGATCTCTAAGCAGTTCAGCCTTTTGGCGTTCTTTTGTACGCAGAACATTCAACATTCTTGGCACATATATTATATAGTAGATTCCATTTTTTGGCTTATCCACGTATAAAGAAAACAAGTATGAAGAATCACACTTGCTGAAAGTTTTTAATTTCGATACGTTCACAGATTCTACCTAAAGAAATATTATAATACATTATCACACACAAATCATTTGCAAAAATTGAGTTTTAGAGTGGCTTCTTTGCATAATTTTTGCTGCTTTCATCAAAATTTCTAAGAGTTGAAACTATTTTTTACTGTTTAAAACTGCAACCACAAGTCTCATACACAGTTGTAAACTTCAATCTTAAGGTTCCTAAATTAGAAATAAAATGCTAATTTCATGCAGTCAACGCCTTTTGCTTTCCTTTTTTATAAAGGAAAAAAGCACAACTCCATTTTTTATCAGTAAACAAAACCGTAAAGATGAGTTTGATTTCCAGTAACTACGAATGAGAATGAATTCACAACCTTTGTGGATTGCGAAGGCAACAGAACTGTTGATACAGCTCGACCGCATGCATTAATTACTCTGTTACAGTTCTCAGTAGTTGCGACGTCTCGAACTGCTTTCAGAACATCAAACATATTCCGCCGCCTGGAAAGTTTCTTCATAATAACAATAATAAACCCAGTAATTACAACCAATCCTTTATAAAGTACAGAATGCAATGACTGACTTCCGTACTGTATTTTCATGTACAAAATCCACTATTAAGCAAATTTAATACCAACTTCCAAAAAAATATTTGCATCCTAAAAACAACTGACCCAACTACTGAAATTATATTTCTAATATATTCAAACAATTAGCAGTCTCAAATAAAAAATATGAACGAACAGTGAATGTTATTAAGAATTTCACGAAAGTTGAAAGCTACAATGCATAACAAGCATTCATTCAAAATATTTCCTCAAGAAAAGCAAACGAATCTTCGATGTACAAACTATACTAATTAGAAACTCTTTATTGCTCACTACAAGATTATATCTCCCAAATATGGCAAAAGAACAAAGAATCGAAAGGATACATCACACAAAAGAAATGACAACAAAAATATCACACGACCAGTAACGGCCGAAGAAGACGAAATGATTGTTGTACATATGAAAAAGCATCCCCAGCTGCTAGAAACACCGTAGTGACTAATTCATCTATCTGAAAGCAAAAATGAATAAACAAGCGTCAAATTTTTTACTTACACTGCTATTATGGGAGAAAGAACAATAAAATGACCTAAATGTATCCAGTTTGCTATGTAATTATCTAACAACTATATCCTACTAAGTCGTGAATAGTTACTAATATAACAGCAAAATAAGATGAATCAGGGAATTCCATACTAAAAAATCAGAAACCTCCTCAAACGAATTGTCGGCAGTACTGATATACTGGGCAAAATAATTACTGAAAAATGAAATCTGCCGCCCAACCAAGGCAAGGAAGTGTGAGAACGCTTCCAAGTTTCCTTTTGTCTCCGTGATTAAAAGCAGCTGACCCATCTTGTGAACTGAATGGACACTTTGAGCAGTAAAATCAGCCAAGCATTCTGCAAATAAAAAAGTAAAAATTTTATTTGCTTGTTAATATCAATTGAGAACCTAATTACAAAACAATACCTAGAAAGAGCACGAAAATCTCATCGCCAGTTACAGGCAAGTTTTCAGAACGTTCTTTAAACCGCTTGTAAGAATCGATCAAAACTGAACCCTGAAAGTGTAAACAAGCTTCAAAAGACCGTAAAATGAAACAGGAGTCATAAAACGAAACTTATCATGAAAGTATTCTATTTTATTGCATTACAAAAACAAAAACGAGCTTCACGTTGTATGGTAAAGCGGTCGTTAGTAATATTCCTTTCAACTGTTGGATAAAATCTTCAGTATCATTTTCTTGATATTCCTCCAATGTATTTACTAAATCATTAGCAAAAATTTTATCCACTTCTCTGAAACACAATTTAAAGTTTTCATGACATTGCCATTTAACATCACAATAAACTGTCAATAAAATAAATATTATTGCAAATATTTTTAGCTAAAGCTGAAAAGGTAAATGACTACATAAAAACAATCTTATACCTCCTTTTGTCTATCGTAATTTTTTTCAGGTGATTTTTAGACAGCATTTCAAGGCCTTCCAAATGAAACATGCCACCAAATTTTTCAAAAAACTCAATAAATGTGGATTCACGCTTAACCATACAGCTACCATCGTCTACAAATTTTTCTTCTTGACTTTCCCGCAATTCTCGTAAAACTTGAGATAAATTCTGGCCTCTCTCAGGTTCGAAAATAAATCGTCGTTTGTGAGAACCCTGAAATCTTGAACAATGCTTTCAATTTATATTTGAAATTCTGGTGTTATCTGATAATAAAGACAAAAACTAAATTCTCGCTTTCAGTACTGGCAGATAATCTCAATAATAATGAATATAAGATGATTAAACCTGCTCTTTAACAGTTAATTTTTCAAATGTTTTCTTGCCAAGTGCTTCAAGTACATCCAAAGAACTTGTAACAACATTTGCTCCAAACCCAGTAAACAATTTTCGATACGACTGTACACTAGAGCTGTTTTTTTCGTCATTTTCCTTCAAATTGGTACAATGTGAGTTTATGTGCTAAGTCCGTTTTCGCTAACAGTCTTTAGTTTACTTTGGTTGACTTATTTCATCAATAGAATAAGTTTTCTCCTGTGAAATGTCGGACTTACATACATAATTAATGTTGTAAAAACAAGTTTTTATAATTAATTAATTTAACAAACGTATTAACTTTTATAAAATCATCTCCAGATATTTCCTTCGGAAGACTTCTCGCTAAATCTTCTGGTGCTGGTAATCCAAGCCCTGATTCAACCACATTAGATAAAGTTGTAATGCCCTCACCTTAATTAAAACCAAAATAATTTTGCATGTAATGCTTTCTCAGTTAAATAGATCAAAGTTCTGTTAGCTGAGCAACCTAGTATATATTTTTTGCTCATTTTACAGTTTCTTTGTCATGTAAATAAAAGGTACAAAACTGATCGTAGTTAGTCTTAAAATGCTAAAATCACTTCTCAGCTTAACTTTGATTACAATTATTAATAAAACGGCAATGTTTCTGCCACAGTCTACTTCATTTTAAAACTAATTATATAAAACAAAATATGAATGTTTTTTCATATAGTTTTTACTTGCTATCAATGTTGAAAAGTTCAGTTTTATTATGTCAAAAAATCAAATCCTGACACACTATTATTTAAATGCTGATCATCACCACGTGCGATTTAAGCATCACTAACCAACAGCAGCGACTACGTCGCCAAAGTCGGTCCATTCCCAGAATGATTTGCTGTTTTCAACTTCTCTGGTCTTAGATCCAACCTACAGCATATGCAAGAAATCAAATTCTACAAACAATACTATTTCAAAATAATAATTTAGGCAAAAAAATTATCTAAATTTATTTAACAACCAAACTAAACTTTAGAGGAAGGTATAACTCTACATAAAATGACCAATTTATGAGAGAATAAATTCACTTTTTTTGCGTTTGCATTTTCCTGTTCTCTTTTTTCTTGTTCTTCTGCATTTTCCTGTTTTCTCTCCTCTATTTTCTGCTTTTCGAACGGTTCTGTCTCGTTTTCACGAATTTCCGAACACTCCAATTCCCAATCATCCCATCCATCGACATCGATAGTGCCATTTTCGATTTGTTGCATTTTTTTATTCACAAATCTGATGTGATCTTCACATTCAGGTGAAGATATGGGTTCTATGACCTTCCTCTTACTTACAGCATTTTTATTACATTCCACTTGATTGCGTTCTTTACTGCCTTTCAAATCTCCAGTCGTTAACAGTCTACTATCGATAGCAAGTTCTCTAACAATTTTTAATTCACATTCTGATTTCGGAAGTTTCACCTCATCAAGCTGAGAACTAACTGGGGTTGATAAGTGATAATCTGAGTTCTGGTCATTCAAATCATCGCTGCTTCTAGATCGAACAAATTGTGGCATCATCTTTACTTCAACATTATAAGCATTTCTGAATGCTTCACAATCTTTAGTTGCTTTTTCAGCATCCTTAAACTTCTGGCACTCCTCCAATAACGACCTATTTCCAATTGTTTTTCCTACACTCTTACCAGATAATTTTTTCGGCATATCGGATGCCCTACCAGCACATTTGACAGATAAATCCAGATCTCTACTCAAGTTCGTTTCACAATTCTCGTTTTCATTATCTTGTTCTTTGGCAAAAGCTTCATTTTTGAATTCAATTTCTTCGTTTCTGACATCATAAAAGTCGTCAACAGCACTGTGAAATGATTCTGTATCAGAATCTGCCATCCACAAACTACTACGCCCCTGTCCCAAAAACCCTGGAACATTCCACAAATGAAAAAAAAAAAACTCTTTAAAAATAAGACCAAGTTTCACAAGGCTATTTCACTCAATCCATATCAGCTCAATAATTAAATAAACTTTTACAAATATATAAATAAAACCAGACCAGAAACTCGATAAGCACAACCGCACGCGGAAGATAGAACTCTTGCATTGAACAAGATTCAAAGTAAATCAGTGACCGTTTTTGAAATTCTCGGGTAACCGTAAATTACCCACATGCATAACGCCTATTCATACGGTGCGATTTACGAATGCTACTGTATTTTTGACGATATGAATAATGAGTTTAGACGTTGATTGCATTGAAGAGTTGGATACTGAGTTCTAGTTTTATTTTCATCAGGACTGTAATTAACAAACGTGGTTCTACACCGTCAAGTCCATCAAATAAACATGTAGCATATCTATAACTTGCATTCGTAGCAAGAATAGAAACTACTGCCTTAGATTCTCAGTTATGATAGAATCTGTTATTTATTCTGAAAAGATATGGATGAAGAATATGTTCAAAGTGATTATTCAAATCCATATTTTACTATTGATTGAGTTCAAACCATGACTTATTTTGAATTGTTCCTTGGGAACTGATATTGCGATGCACATAATGATTGAAAGAGGTCATCGATGCATAAATAATATGTGCGTAGGCTTAAGTCAAGTAAAAACATGTTAATTTATTCACATCAAGCAAATCAAGAATTAAAGTGAAATAAGATCACGATTAGGTGTGAGAATTGTCGAGGTGTCACTTGTGTAGTCATTTATATATAAACCATCAGTAACTGGTTTGAGCAAAAATACAGCATCATCGAGGTGGTAGAAGGGCTAAAACATAAGAAATTGTCAGTTTTCGCGCATTTAGCTTAGTAATTTCCCCCGGTAAAACTATGTCACTAGTTTTCCTTCAAATAAGACGCTCAATTTTATAGATTGTTTGAATAAGAAGATTTGTACAAATCTTAAAATTACTAAGAGAAATCGGTAAAACCATACTCTTCTAAAATCTCCTTCACACAAATAAGGCAGCTTTCCCCATTTAAGTAATTCAAATCCTGATGGTTCGAAAACATCTTTCACTATTGAAATTGCTTGCTCCTCAAATGTCCTGCCTTTTATAACAAGTTCGATGTCTAAAATCAAAAATATGTTTAATTTGATTGCATATTAATAAATTACCTGTAAACTACCAAAACAAGATGAAATTCACAGAAATCGACGTAAAAGGCACGTAATAAGGGGTGTGATATAAGCATAATTAATTAATCCGCATGAAATAGAGGGAACTTTGGTAAATACTGCCTGGTCGAGTTGTTGAACCGGTAGGATGGAATTCGACATATTGGTACAGCGGTAGCACGACTGCTAACAATAGTAAAGATTTCGATCGTGAAGTCACTGAATGTAAACGAGCTAAGAGCAATGATGGGTTATAATGACGGTCAAGCAAATTTAGTGCTGAAACTAAATGGTAATTTCCATATTGGTGCCACGAATCAACTGGAATAGTTTTGAATCTTCGTTGTTTCAAGCGCCATTCCATTACCTAGGTAAGCAATAAATTTCGAGAGAATTCGACTAAATTCCATTCCACATACCGTTTCTAAATCAGATTATTCTTTTTACATAATCTGAGTAATCAACATAAGTTCTAAAATGCAAAACAATTAAAAGTCTTTACATTGCAACATACCAGATTTACAAAAAAACAAATTGACCATTTCAGTAATTTAAAATGAAAGAACTGATGTTTAAATTTACTTATGTCATCTGTTAAAAAATGCCTAGTTTCAAATGATGACATGTCTTCTCTATTAATTTGTAAATTAATGTTTATTTCACTTGCTTATGTTTATTTCAATATATAATTTTGTTTCAGTTACACTTGCTTATGTTTACTAAAAAAGATATCATGCATATTTTTTAGTAAACATAAGCAAGTGGTTAAGTTACACAATGGATTTTGGTGACTAGAATATTGTGAATGTTTACATTAGGCATTAAGAAACTTTACTTTTGAAGCTTCTGTAACTGAAACAAAATTATACAAACGCGCCAGAGTTGCAGTTATCTGACCGTCTCCAGCTCCCAAATCCAAGAGCTGAAAATATCTTAGAAAATATAATAGTTTCTCACATAATAAACAAACGAAAAATATTTTTCTAACAGCAAAACGATAGAAATAAAAATGAGCAAATAACGTTGATATTGTGATATAATTATTAGAACCATCTTTATTAAATTTCAAAATTCATCCTCTGAAAACTATTTAGAATATAAATTTCGGAATTTGAAACAAAAAAGGAAATCAATTATAAATGGTACTCGCTTATCAAAGGAAATCCAATCAGATGGAATATCCAAAAATTCCTGTAACTGATTAAGAGAAAACAAATGCATGCCACCTCGTCCAAGAATACCATTAATACTTGTCTTTGTGAATATAAATGACAATAAAGAAGTGAATAAAGAATAATAAACCTAAAATTTATGCAAAATCTGATGTGACCTAATAAATTTCAGATAAAATTTTAACAATTCCAATAAAACTACACAGAAGTTTACATATCACGGTAGAAAAAAAACTAAGAAAGTGCTTATAGGGTGCACTTAAAGCTATTTCAATATATATATATATATAAAGTACAATTATTCTTTCTGAAATTTCTAATAAATAATTGTGTTTCTTCATTATATTATTTGGGGAGACCATCCTGAAACTTTTCAAAAAATACACAATTTCCAAAATTTAAACACCCTTATTCAGAATTTTTGAGTTGCATCAAATATTTTGCAAATCATGTAACATATTGACCAAATGCTAAATATCAGAGTACAAACATCATAAATATCCTGAAATTTGAAAAAAAAAACATACCTGTAAGCATATCGAATTACTGATTTTAAGAGAATTATTCAGAAATATGTGAACATCTTCATCGATGTGGAACTGATGGAATTTTTCCAGCATAATTGGAGATAGAGCACTCCCAAAAACCAACATCAATCAGTAAAACTCACGCTAATTGCAATTATTATTAACAATTTAAGGCTAGCAGAGAATATGAATATTGTATGTACTGTAAAATTTCAGGCACTATGTGCTTCAAAATTATTTTTTGAAAACCTGAAATAAATGAACGATACTGAAAGAGAAATTTTACTTACTTGTCGATATAATACCATACAGAGTGATCTGCTGAAAGCAAACAATAATCTAATTCTGGTTTTTCCATCAGTAACTGAGCAATCCGATAACCACGAAACATTTCCAACCTATCTGATTACTGGAACGGATATCCAAAAAACTTTTCCATTATCTAAAATATTTGATGGTGAAAGCTTGAAGGCATTTAAATTAGAGAAAATATTTTTATAACTTATAATTTACGCCGATTTAAGTATTTATGGGAATATAAATAAAATTTGAACTGAATTTATGCAAATATCCCATTTCTTTGCATTTTATTTTGAGTAATAATTAAATAACAAAAATACCTCACTCACTTATCTAATTAATTTATCTTTTTGACATAATGTCATGAGAAATATTATAATTTTTAATTATAAATCTATTTATCGAGCAGCGAATTGATCGAATTTTATTTGTTAAAATAATGACACTTATTTTTTCTCGTCTTCAGTTTGACACAAAATTGTCATCGGGATGTCACGAGGATTTAACTCTGTTTGACTTGTAATTATATTCAATTAAACTAGTCTCTTGACTTTTTTACTTTTACTTATCTTAAAACAGTTAATTTTCTTATTGTTTTTTAATATTTATTTATTCGTTTTATTTTTAGTTTCAAATTTGGTATATTATTTTTTACTTCATAATTACAAATTTCAAACAATATGCAGTTTTTAAGCACATATGTGATAAAAATTACGAAAAAATCTTGATAATTTTATTAAAGCAAAAAGGTTGAAATTAAGATTTAATTATTTTTAAAAAATGTAAAATAAATTGGAATTCGTCGAAAATTGAAGGTTAGTTTCAGTTCTTTTAATTCCTTCATTCTAAAAGTTCATAATAAATAATTATTTTTGAATAACCGGAAAATCCGTAATAATTTTTCGTTGATTAAAATGTAATAACTAAATGACAGAAAAATAATAGTATTTGGTTATTATTGTCTGCCTTTAAATGAAAATTTAAAATAAAGTTGTTATTATTATAAGACATAAATGATTATTACTTTTTAATTTTTCGGAATTAAATTGTGCAAGTTAAAAATTTTCAAATTTCTCTAAGCTTAATTTTTTTGAAAATAATATTGTAAAATTTTTGTATTTGTATATATTTTGAAGTTTATTCAAGTTGTGTAAAAAAAATTAGTCTATAAAATTAACCTCGAAAAATGAGGCTTTATTTTTAGTATTCAGAAAGGGAATGACTTCTGATAATAATTATCTCGTTATTGCGCATATAAACAATCTGCAGTCGTCCTATTATTATTTCGTAGCAATTCATTAAATATCCTGATATAACCTTCGTAAAATAATCAGAATTGATCGTGAAATGGTATATCAGTTGAAATCAAGCAAATATAGCACATATGAAATTAAAATGGCTTAATTTCAGCCTCAAATAAATAAGTGTTTTATAAAGATGCTATAAATTTGTTCTGCTGCTGATCTGAACAAAAAAGTTCTAGAACACATTTTTATCCTTAACTTGAGAGGGAGGCTAAAGCAGCTTGAGATCATTTTACAGACCTAAAATATTTGATAGCTTATTGAATGTGTAAAAATAAATCAAGCATTTTCGATGCGACCTTTAACGTGAGCAAAAAAAGACTACTTTACATATTATCATATTTTTTTTACAACATCAAAAATCACTATTTGCTTTTTAGTCTCAATTGATTGATTTTATAACAATCATGATTACAGTTTTGATCGATGAACTAACTGTATATCAGCAATTTTATTAGTAGACTTGTAATGCTGTAATTAGTAATGATTGTTTTGTTCTACTTTTAATCCTTGCTATTTAAAAGCTTTCTATGTTGTATTATAGTTATCTCAACAAATCCGAATGATAGTTCTATGCTTGAATGAAAGTTGTGTAAAGAGTAATACTAAGTAATAAGGTGGGAGAATTCGTACTTATTTTTTTACATCTGTCATATTTAAAATTGTACCTATTTGTTAGCAGCGAAAATTACTTCAAAACAACTTTCCATAATGAAATATGTACTAATTCAAAACAACTTGTTTATATACTTATCATTCAGATTATAACACTATTGTTGCATTCATTGCTATTTTTAATTTACATTAATATAAATTAGATAATAATTTGTTCAAAGCATTGAGCAAAAATCATTATGAGATTATATTGCATATTAAGTTAAATAAATTAATTTCGCTAGTTTTCAAGTAACTACAGCGAAAATGTAACTGTAGAAGACTTTTATAATTGCAATGAACAGAACGACGTGAAATAATTTAATAGCATAAATTATAAAGTTAGCGTGACTAAATACTCGAATTAATCCATACTCGTTTAAGAAGTATTTTTCATAGCAGTCCAGTCTTGTTTGTGTTCCTAGCATTAATCATTTCTGAATCATTTGATGAATGTTTACAAGGAAGTATCTACGTTGGAAAAAATAAAAGAAGTGATGCTTCATGATTTTAGCATTTTGTTAGTGTACACACTTGTAAATATTCATCATTCTGGCTTTATATGGAAAGTACTGTATTCTTTAGTTTCACTTTATTGTAGTTTGCTGATGACATAAATCTTATTTCTGTTTACTTATTTGATTCTTTTATTAGCGATTGATTTTTGCAGTAATTCATTGTGTGTTGGAGGAATTGTCATCACCAACCAATCGTATTTCCAACAGTAACCTAATGGAAATTATCAAACTCTTTAAAAAGGTTATTTATCACTACAGATTTATTAATACTATTCATCTGAAACTGTAAGGCAAAAATGATTGCGCTGTTTTGTGAATACTTTTTTGAGCATTTGGCATTTCTGTGTTGCTGTTGTTTTTGTTGCTATTAATTTTTTACAATATTTTGTGAATATATAATTACGGGCATGAAATTTTTCTGCGTTATTGATTTAAAAAGTTTGAGATTTAAATACCAAATAAATTAGTCCAATAAAATACTTCATTTTGAAAAATATTCTTTTTTCGTGTATTTTGTACCTAAATCTGAAAATATTCTAATTTTGCAGCCAATAATTTAAAATTATTTCGAATGAATAATTTTATAATTTTAGTAATTTCTCATGATTGAGCTTCTATAACATTTTTGAGTACATAAAAGATATCCTTTTTTTTAAAATTACTTTAACTTAATTAAAGTGACATCTAAATTTAGGTATGAAATAATATTTTTGTAAAGAGTAAATGTGAAGAATTAAATGAAGAAATTATAAAAAGGTGTAAAATAGAAAACATAAATAAGAAAAGAGTAGATGAACAAGTGGAACACATTGTAAAGGAGTTCAATTTTTCGTCATACTCATATAAGTATTTGCGCTAAATGTTTCATTTCAAATTAATTACCACAATTAGTACTGCAGTAAATGTGGAAGAATTTGGCCGGCTGAGAAATGAAGAAAAGATAGTGAGCAGAAAGGAGAACAAATTTTTTCATTTGCAATTTTATTTATGATTGCAATTGGTGGTCAAATGGCAGGAGATCATCACGGTAACCCTGCAATGAGATCATTTCGTCGTAGCAGCTTGGCTGCATTTCGTCGTAGTAGCTTCAGTAATTTATACCAGTCGTGTACAGGACGAAGAAAAGCAAGTAGTATTAAGAAAATGACAGGTAATAATAATAAGTACGTATTTAGTGTTATTTTTATTATTATACATCAAGTACTTTTTGTAATCTTTTCTTTTGTGCTTTCCATTTTACTGAAAGAAAAAAAGTGTTTTCATATTATTCATTTTTAGAGACTTGTTTTTGTTTTTATAAATTATTATTGGCAATTTTTGCTGATTTTTCTTTCAATTTTTAACAGAAGAAAAGAGTAGAAGTGATGATAGTTTGAAGAGATTTTTTAGCCTTTTCATTTTCAGAGCATATTTTTAATGCAAAAACTTTTTATTATAAAAGTAATTGCGCTTTTTTTTGCAACACAAATTGTAATTATTGTGATAAGTTAGTTCATTATTAAGTAGGATTAAATTTACAGAGTCTAGTAACTGTAAATTTTTTTGGATAAATTAACGAGGATAACTTTTTGTAAAAGATAGAAGACTGTAAATAGCTTTTTAGACAGTCTTTTTTATCTGCTTCGTCGTTCTTTGCAGTTAATTTTTGCAAAAATTGTTATATAATATTTGAGTGAATGTAGAAAAGAAGCATGTAGTTCCAGAATATGGTAACATAATTGCACAGTACGATTACTACAATTGGTACTGACTGAAGTGAAATGAAATTTAAAAAGTGGGCAATACCCAAGCATGCTACTTAATTAGTAGGTTGTATTGGTAGCATTGCAGATGTCTATACAGTTAGTAGAAGACATGAAATACTGATTGTTATAATTAAATTGTTGTAATCAGTTGAGTCATGTATTTAAGTAATAGCGTTGAATTTGGTATAAATTTTGTATACTGTAATAGCGAAACAAATATTCAATAGTTTATATAGTTGCAGTAAAGAAATAGCATCTAGAAATATGATGTATTGTTGATATGAAAAGAAGTCGATATATTTTAGAGAAAGAGCTACTACAAGGAAAAGCATAAAGGAAGTAGCGAAAAAAGGAGAAAGAAGAAACAAATGCATGCTAGTTGCTTGGTTTCATTTTTTTGCTTGTATTGATTAACGCTATTTTAGATACTACTACTAGTGGAAATGGATCAGAAGTAGTGGATAAAGATCTAGAAGCATTTTGTTTAGCACCAACAGTATCCATTAAATCATCCTCACCAGATGAAGATGAAGCTGGACCAAGCAGTAAACAGCTTTCAAGGCCTGTGATAAGAAGAGCGCCAGGAGCATCAGGAACACAAATTTTACGACGTGCAGAATCACATTCTTCGTTTTTGGCACGCTTAAGTGGTCGATTAAGACGATCGTTTCATCTGTCTTCTAGCAAACGAGAACAAACCGATAAGGTTACAACAAGCAGCGACGTGGCGAGCGGCGAAACTTCTACACCAATACTGCTTTTTGAGGTTAAATTCACTTTATTTTACATATACCTTCTAGAATGATTAGTTACTTGAATATTTAACTAATACTCACAAAAGGTTGATGACGCCAAGTTATTTACTTTTCTTTTATATATTTTTGAGTTTCTGAAATTTTAGTTCACGGTGAGAGAATGCATTGAATCCGTTTTTTTTTTAAACAAAGTTTTGCTTAAATTAGACATTTCCTACAAGTCAAAAAATATGCTTGCTTTTAAAAAATTTCACATGATTATTCTAAAAAGTATATGCAAATGAATTTTGTGGAATTTCTTTCGTTTATTACAAAGTATTATATCTGAATAGTGCTAAATAAAACACCCAAAATACTGCTGTCATTTAAACTGCTATTTATCATACTTTCAAATTATTCATGTTTAAGCTGTTTTCGAGAGTTGAAAATAATGATACTAATGTTATTTCATTTCCAGAGAACATTCACGGGTTCTGCAAACATCACAATAGACAATAATGATGAAGCATATAGCAGCATTGAAGTGGTGCAACAAGTTTTGCGTCGGAATAGATCTGATGAAGTAAGTAAATAGATTTGATAAGGCATTAATTATTGATAGGTGCAAATGTAATTAATTAAAGCGAATTTGTTAGCATTTTGTCTCTGAACTCTGAAAATTATGCTGATATTTATTTAATTACTTCAATACGATGCTGAGTTTAATGTTGCAGATTTATCTAATTCATATTTAAATTTTGTCTTCTACATCAGATAAAACGCCTTCTGCGCAAAACGAATTGGCCAGTAGGTCATGAAGTACGAGCAAATTTGTGGCAAGCAATTTGTAGATCTAACAATGCAGATTTTGATGCGTACAGAGGTAGTTATGGTCCAGAAACCTATGGATGGGAAGAACTTGATGGTAATTTTCATTGTCTTTTATCAAAGCTAATTTCAATTGAAAGTGTTTAATTGTAGAGAATTTAATGTAATAATTAAGCAGTAATTTTTGGAATCTGAAATGATTTAGCTACAAGAAGCATGAATAAATGTTTACATGTGTACTAAGTAGTTTGAACTGGCTTTTGAAGGCAATTTTACTCCGAAAGTGCGTTTTCTGCTCTCTCCAGATACTATAAAGAATAATTATCAGTTAAATCCAAATGGGTTAGCAGCATTACATCGTCTCATTCGCGCTTTAGATGATTCATTCCCGACTCTAAACTATGCTCCTGTTCGTATTAAAGCTTCTTTTTTTCGTTTTTTTTTAAATATTTTTTTAGACCCATTTGTTATCATCACAAATATATTTTTTAATATTGTGAATTAAAAACATTTTTTAATATGTTTTATAGATGATCCGACCTATACTTGCATTGTTCTTACATTATATGAATGAAGAGGATGCGTATGCTTGTGCTTTTCGAATTTTAAAGAATCATTTGAATTATATGAAAGACTCAGCTGTAGCTAATACAGCTTCATCATATACTTTACTTGCACTGGTCAAGATTTATAAAGTATGTTTTCTTTCCTTATATATAAATTTCTTTATCTTTTTCATTCTTCTCCTAAAAAATGTATGGAATTATTCGACTAATGTTTTATTCGGAAATAGTAATTTTGTTTTCATTTTTGTACTCGCAATGGTTCAAAATCTGATGTGATTGTGATAGGATAAATAATATACTATTCAAATTTGATGTCAACAAATACTGACACTTGATGTCAATCAATTGAATTGATGAAGTTTTTGATAAATTTCTTTCATTGAATACGTATCCATTTCGTTCACTGTTTTATAAAAATGTTAATGTTGTTATTTTTAGGTAGGAGTTTATAGAACAATGAAGAATTGGATTGGTTCGTCTGACGAAAGTGTTTTGGCGAAAGCTTTGCATAATTGGCCAAAATGGATATTCTGCTATCTATCATTTGAATATTTGATTTGTATTATTGATTGCTACCTATATGAAGGATACAAGTTACTAATGAGAATTGCAATAACGTTACTTAACACCTGGCATAAAAACGCAACAGTTGGTTTATATAAGGAATTTTGAAAATGCATGCATTTGAATAAGATTGCATAGCTGATTAATTTTTCATCTCAAATTTTATGAATAATTATGAAAGTTTTTTTGAAAACTTGAGACTACGTTGTTTGATAATATTGATCGTTCATATCGGCAATTTTAGCTTTTTTCACTCTGGGTATTTTTTCAGATTCCTGAGGATTTGTGTGATAAAACGTATGAAGAACGAGTAGATTTGTTTATGACGAATTTTCAAGAAATTATAAAACGTGAAGATATTTCAATCACAGCTTTGCTTGAAGCTGCTAAAGGGATTCGGAATTTCAGTAGTGCTAAGATTGCGCGACTTCAGGAGAAATATGAGAAAATAGTGATTTTTTTATTCGCATTAAAAATTTTGTGAAAATACTTCTCATATGAGATTTTCAGAGTGTTAATAGTTTAGCTCAGTGATTTATCAGTTATTTTTGCTACTAAATTCATTTGTTGGTTTTTTGGAGCTATTTTTAGAGAGTCTTATTTGAACTTTTTGTGCATTTTAGAAAGTTGAAAAAGCCTAAATAATCCTACAACTATGTTTACTACTTCGTAATTATTTTAGAGCAATATTTTATTTATTTCTATTTTCTTTGGATATTTCCAGGTTTTAGAAACTGAAGGTTCCGTTCTTCCAATACCAGATATACCTGCTATGCATACAAAACCTTTCATCTCGTTTATAATATCACCTGAGATAGCCTTTAATTTAATGTGCCAACTACCAGAAAGATATCAGCTCAGAACGCCACTGCTAATTTATCATCTTTTTGATGATGGAACTTCTTTCAGTCATCTTTGGAGCAAGTAAATATTTTCTTTATCGCAACAGAGTTACAAAATATTTTTATTAAATGATCCTCAAAATAAAACATTATAGAATTGACAAAGCGGAATCAACTTTAATGGTTATCAAGACAGACAAAGATGAAGTTTTGGGAGCTTACTGCGATGAAGCATGGGAAAATCGAACAAAAGCGCATGAGCGAGAGTCTGGGATATATTTTGGTGGTGGTCGTTCTTTTGTATGGAATTTGAATGAAAACGATCAGCTAAATATATTTCGGTGGCAAGAAGATCAGGCAGAATGTTTTATGGCTGCACCTTATGATCCAGATCCTGTTGTTATGATGGTTTTTTTTTTTCAAAATCTTTATTTTTGTAAAATTTCAACTTCAGCATGTGGAAAAATTTTTTAAGAAATGTTTTGTGTTTTATAAAAGAAATAAAACAGATTGATTTAGTATGTATTTTTTATTTGCTATCAAATTGTAATGGTGGAGTCTGCATGCATTAGTGTTTTGCCATTAATTAATTAACTTTAAATACGTGTCTGTATTGCCAATATTTTATTTCATATTACAATTTACATTTTAAATACCTAAGTTAATTAGTCGAATACAATAAATTTAATAAAAACTGGTTTGTTCAAATGTATCCTTTTTTAAATTCATTGTAGATTGGAGGAAATGCAATATATATTCGAGATCAGTTATTAATTGGTTCAAGTTTGGCTGGCAATACTTTTCGAAATCCGGAATTAGTGAATGGTGGTACATTTAAAATTAAGGATCTTGAGGTGAATACTTGTTAATTTTAGAAAGGCTTTAATTATAAAAATTACAGCAAAAATTATACGATTGCCATTTGCTTCCATTTGTGTTGTCATCAGAAACTATATTTAGTATAAAATTTTTGAATTTGGGAGAAATGTTCGAATGCATTAATAAGTTGATAAAAGCAGGACTATTTTATAGGTATATGAAGTATGCTAACGGTAGGAACAAACTTCAGTATGGAGTTTTCAAGGAACGCTATTCAAAAATTTTCTGTTAAGCAGAGTTTCATTAATGCATGACAAAGCGCATCATATTTTTGTAAGATGTATATTTTCAAGAATTTAATTTTTACTGCGGTAGCTTTGCGACTATCAAGAAATATTTCATTTATGGTGTTCTTTGTTCTCAATGTTGTAATATGTATTTACTCAAGTAAGCACAATTGTATCTGCGGATTGTTACTAAATCAAAATTAAGTGGCGAATTTGCATTGAGATTAAGAAATTGTTTCGAAGGTTTAGATTAATGATATTAGATCCTTAACTTCACTGACAAAGTGCTTATTTTTGTGATGGATTATTATTTATGAACTGCTATTTTTATTAATCGTACGTACCAATTTAATCTTATTATTGATATGATGATGTTCTCAATGGTCTTATCAATTATATTAGTTTTCGCTCATGAAAATACTGACGAGTCGAATAATTACGGTGTATGCAGTGATCTTTGCCCCGTTTTTACAATATTAATTCTTTAATTGTTGTCACTTGATTATTATTCCAGTTTAATTGTGGATTAATGACTTTAAAATATCGTCACTTCTATGTATGATGTTGAACTTTTTATTTGAATAGTACCATTTGTCGTATCAGTTAGAAACAATTATGCAAAGTAGGAACTTCGTTTTTAGATTACGAATATTGTTGAGATGGTGTTAGATTCTTCTCTACGTGTGCGATACTTACATCTGCTGCTTAATCATGCATTCATTCGCTGCCAGTTTATGAGTTATTACGATACTATCGTCTATAGTGTTGATCAATCAGTAAATTCATTGAAATATACATTTACTTGCTTATTTATGAGATATAATACACGAATTAAATCTTTTTTTTCCGGGATATGTTAAAAATGCACCAGGAATCAGATAGTTGTTTCTTGTGCTTAATTTTTGGGTTGGCAATGTTTGTCCTGAATGCTTGAAATCTTTTTTGAGCAAAAAACATTGGAAAATCGCCTAGAAAAGATTGCAGGTAATTAAAGTTGAGGGTTGGAATCATTTCTTGATCCACTGTCGGTCTAGATTTTGAGCAGGGATGTGAAGCATTATGTTTCAATAGTCTTATGTTTATCTAGTATCTTTTAGATTCAAAGAAGGAAGGATGGAAAGCCTAATTGCTTCGAATATTGATGCATTGTTGCATTTCTTATTTCCAAATGATTGTTATGAACTCGTGCTACTAAAGTACAAGTTCGTTCATCGTAAGTATTTTACCACTACAGATTACCCATAGATACTAGAAATTGGTCTGTGGCACTAATGATAGCCATTTGATAGAAGTGAAGCTTCTGGCAAGGATAAATACTGTATAGTTGCTTAAGTCACAGTTTTTGTTAACAGTTATTCTGATCATTTTTTTTTTAATTTAAGAAGTGTTTGATGAATTTCAGAGGAATGTTTGTCGATGTTTATATCGAGATTGCTGGGAATAGGCATCACATATACATCGTTAATATTATTTTTGCCTCAAATTTTGAAAATTCAACTTGCACGATCTGGTAAAGGGATTTCGCTGTTATCACAGTTACTTGGATTATTTCCTTGCTTTGCAATAAGCTCTTATGGATACGCCAGTGGATATATTTTTAGGCTTGTTATTATTGAATTTTGTTCTACACAGTATTGATTCAGGTGTATTATAAATTCATAAATTGAGCAGGATAAAGGATCGTTTTTTAAATTTAGTCAAGCAGTTTAACTATAATTGCTTGTACTTCATAGCAAAACAAATAAGGCTTCAAGTATAATTCTTTCAAAATTTTAAGCAACTGATTTTTATAAAGAAATAAGTAGAGGATCAGAATTTGTAGGAGCTGAAGATAAGCTTATTTGTAAAAATAATTATACTTAAAAAAAGTAAATCAATTAATCTGATACCTGTAGTACTTGACTTGTAAATTTCAGTTAGTGATATTAAGCATCATAGGTACTTTGGTTAGATAGTGCTTTGTAATTTATGTAGTTGGGGGTTGTTAGTCTGTTCAGAATTACTACAGCTACTTCATTGAGAGAATTCAATTAGTTACGAAAACATTTCTGAAGATGACGACTTTTCTATAAAATTTTAGTATATATTTCAGTCAGTGGGGTGATTCATTTTTCGTATCAATTCAAATGATTATAATAATTATGCAAATACTTTGGTTTTCATCACGACAAACTTATGCATTGGTATTTTTGGCATTTTGTTGGACATTAAGCTGTGCAGTGATGAATAACTTCGTTCCGCTGAATCTGCTTGCATTGCTTCAGGGCATTGTTATTCCATTTCTGGTCATGGCCAAAGTAAGCTTCATTTAATATTCAACGAATTCTAGATTTCAGCTCTATTAAAAGACTGAAATACTTTACTTGAGTTTCCGTATTCATGTATATGTAAAATATTTAAAATGCTGAGTTAGTTGAGATTAGCACATCACTGATAAGATGTCATGATTACTGAGAAAGAAATTTCATTACCATTCATTTATTAACTTTTGTATACAGATGGGACATGTAAACATAAATGGTATCAGTTGTAATTGACAGTTACGACTAAAACAAAGAAATAAGGGAGATAATATATATTTGAATTAGTCTCATAGACTTTTTAATAATTTTGGAAAATTCAATTTCAAGAGGACAAATGATTACATATGAAGTCAACATCTTTATAATGAGGTAAAAGCTGTAATCTTGTCCATCATTATACGAGTTTATTTTCAGGTTTTACAAATCCGAGCAAATTATCAGGAGCAGAGTACCGGCCAATTATCACTGATATCCGTATTTTTCCAGTTCTCAGGTTCTGCTGCTAGAATATTTACTTCCTGGAAAGAAACAGGCGATCAACTCATCATTATGAATTACCTTATCAGTGCAGTACTAAATGGCATAATATTCAGTCAATTTTTCATTTACTGGAGCAATTCGATGCAGACGAAAAAAACAGCTTGAACAATTTAGCTAGTACATTAAGTTGTAATAATTTTAAACTTAATGTGCTAGCTAAATTGTACAAAGAGTGCTAAATTTTGCAAAACAAAAACAAAAAGCTTATTTATGTATCTGTAAGCCTGTTTTCTGGTTAAATAGCTTCAAGATTTAATTCTTGCAAATATGCTTTAGTGTTTGTTTACGTGAAATGTTAGTAATCTCGCATGAAAAAACGCTTATATAACTTAGTGACTTGACTGGAAAAATCACATGTTTTAGGCTGTAAAATGAATTTGAATTTGCGATAATTAAATTGAAAAATGTAATTTTCAATGATGATGTTATTGTTTAAATTCAAAATTTTAAGTTTTTCAGTAAAAAATTATTTTACGAGGATTTATTTGTAATATAAGCACAATATTCACATTGAATTTATTGAAAAATCTATTAAATGACATGGCAAGTGAAATAATAAGAAATTTTCACTGTGTATGCATTAAGAAAATTTCTGATTGCTTAGAATGATACCAAAAGGTAGTGTTAAAGAAAACTGCCCCAATGCATAAAGTCTGTACGCGAATTTCGATTTCAACCGGTCTGTTTCAGAATTTTGGTAATTTCTGCTTAAAAGTACCAAAAAAACCGAGATTTCCCGCTAAATATTACGCTACCATTTGATTATTTATAAAGGAAGTGACGGTATTTGTAGGCTGGCCGATTTGTATTGTTATTTGATTGTATTCTGCACTTGAAGAGACGTTTATTTATTTGTTTGTTCCGTATTTGGCTGTGTTTTTGAGGATAAAATTATTATTATTAGTTTGTTCAATAATTTTAATAATTATGGTTGTTGCAAGACTTTTTGAAATCATTTATGTAAACTAAAACAGTTTTTTGTAGCAGTCTTTTAGTTAATAATTTTAGGAGGAAAGCAGAAATAACTATGTTTTTAGACCGCGACTAAGATTGCAGAGTGATTTTTTCTCTTTATTCGATAAAATATTTTTAGTTTTTGAGCATTGGACAGGGATTTTTGCTTTTCAGACAGAGATTTTTGTTTTTCAAATTAGTAAGATATTTTCAGGATATTTTTAATTTTCGAGCAATGGCATTTCTGAAACGATTAAGTTCTAACTTTATTACGTATTGGAAAACGGTATGTAGTGATTATATGGCAGTAATTGGTGATTTGGCAGAAGATGCAAAGAAAAGGCCTATTTTAATGGCACTGAAAATACTACCATTGAGTGTGGCTTTCTATGCTTACAAAACTAATCAAACTGAAAGGTGTGTGCTTTTTGGTAACAGAGCTCAAAACATTAAACTTATTTAGCAATATAGCAAGCATTTTCATAAGATTTTTAATGTTGCAAGTAATTAAGATTCACACTTAAAAATCATTCCTATTTTACTGTTATAAAACTTTTTTTTAATTTGCAAGAATTAGTAAGATTGATTCACAAATGTTTTAATTTACTTGTGCTTTTCAAGGAAATGACAGAAGTAATGTTATTTTGTATTTTCAATCATTTGTTTATGATGCTAGTTAATTAAGCAAGAATCAGACGTAAATGCGGTTTCTCCAAATCAATTGTAAACTATTTTAGTTTCTTTATTACAGTGATATGCTCAATTTTTTAATAGAAAAAAGGCATGAATTAATTCTACTGCCAAATTCAATGCACAATAAGAGAGCTGATGATGAACTTGCTTTGCGAACTTTGTATATAAATCAAGGACGACTAAAACTTTTCAACTGCATTTTCTTCTCCGTTCTTATCAAATATCCTGATAATTATGAAGTATTGTTTCACTTTAATTTTGTTTGTTTTCTAGAAATTTCTGAGTGTTTTATTCTACGTTTCTTTAACTGATTAGTCATATGCTGTCAATTTTTTCATTGCTTTCCATTAGAAATTTCCTGAGTTTCTTGTTTTAGTATAAATAAGTGTTGACGTGAATACTGATCTAGTAAAAAGTAGAAATAGTAAAAATAGAATTTTCTGCTACTGTCAGGAATCATTAATGCGTAACATGTTTTTAGCTGAATTATGCAGCTTTAAATTCGCATTAATCTTAAAAGTAATTGGTCGCTTTCACATAGATAGACATTTAGTATGTTACATAAGTCATATATATGATTATTAAAAAAAGTGAAAGGTCATATATAACTATCAAGGAACTATATAGTTTTTCTGACTTATTTGAAATTTAGCACTTATAAAGAAATGTGCATTTAATAAATTAGCTTCTCTGTACGCTTATATATTTTGCAGTTATGCCTGTATAGAAATCAGAGTTCGATCTTGAGGCGATGGTGGTGGCAGCGTTACGATGATATTGTTGATATCTGTGTGTTTGGGAATTGGCTTCTGTTCAGAAACAGTTTTAAAAACTATGATATTAATGAAAATAATATATTGTTTAACTATAATGTGGAAAATGTAGCAACATAGGTAAAAAATAGTCTTTAGTTGTATAAATTTGTTTTTCTATCTTATGATTTTCTGAAATTTATCCTTCAGTATAGCTGTATTCAATTCACTTCATACTGTTGACTTATTTTTTCTTAAACTTCTAATAGTTGCAGTACTTGCGCTTGAAATCAGCTCTTATGAGGGGCTTTAATCACTGCTCTCAAATTATTTATTTAAATATTATGTTCATGAAAAGTGCGAAATTATCCATCTTTCAAACTGTTTCATATTTTAGATTAGCTGAAGCTGATTGAATCATTCGGAAATTAGTATCTACTTATCACTGATATTCATCTCTATTTACTCTTCCGCCTTTGCTAGTATTATCATACTAAGATATTTTCAGGATTTTAATAAGATATTTTCAGGATTTTGTTTTTTTTAAATTTTATCTGTTGATAATTGGAAGATTTATGGCATACTGAAACAGATATTTTTTATTCCAATGTGCAGAGAAATTTTATTCGTGAAGTATTAGTAATGGTGTTTTTAATATAATTCTTATGATTTTGTTGTAGATTTCTTCCAATGATTTTCGTTGCGATCAAAGAATGATACTAAGTTGAAATAAATTATTTTGTATTATAAAGTGGACAGTGGTGTGACCAGAGTTCAGTACAAGTTGTTGAATTCGTTTTGTCTTATTGGAATTTTTTGTTATGATTCTATGTCATTACTTTTCATAGATTAATGTACTTTCTTGAACCAAAATATATGTTATTGGTTTTTATTTTGGATTCTAACGCTCAATAAATGTGAATATTTCAGATGTAGTCTTTACTGTTTTCAGAAAGAAAAATTTTCCATGAAAGGGGAAATGAAATGAAAATGGCAAGGTTACTAATTCAAGTTTTTTCCTAATCATCACATTTATTTACTCTATCTACATCCACGTCTGAATATATATCACCTAACTTGAGACATTTGTTTTGTTTTGGTTGCAAGTCTTTCATAGGGATTTGTGGTTCTCTTTTACTTATTACTTTCCAGTGAGTAAATATTCATTTCTGTAGAGGAATTTGGCTAATCATAAGACTAAATTGGTGTAGCATTTGAGAAATTAGATACGAGGATAAGTTACTTTTGATTTTAGCACCTGTGAATGCGGTTCATCTCGATTATATCCAATAGCTATCCGTTAATTTTATTTGTATTTCCTTTTGTAGAATCAAAACATACAAATGATCTTATGATAACAGGTAGCAATACAAGGCCGTGAAATAGGCCTGTTATAACTACAAGCACTGATGTTCGCGCAAACATGCGTACTACATGTGAAGGTACTAATATCATGACAGTAATCGCTAAAAGTGTTGAAGTGCCACCCTGTATAACTGGCCAACCAATTGCTCCCAGAGCATCTCGAATTCGTTCATCAGGATCTTCTTGTTCGCTTCGATAGATTCGATACGCTACGTGAGTTGCAAAGTCAATACATAAGCCAATACTCATCTGTAATACAGTACTGTTTTAATGGGAAATACAGTCGTAATAAGAAGTCTTTTCGGTACTAATAGATCAAATTTTTGATTAGCGGGAAAATTTATGATTAAGAAACTAAGTTGTGAAACAGAATGTTCGTAATAATAGTCATTATTTCTGATCTATCATTTAAATATTTTTGATCTTTCGTTCAAAATAATAATTAACAAGTAATTGTTACAGAAATATTGATATAATATATTTTATTTTTATCGATAGTAATAGAAAATAAAGTAGTGAATTTTTCTAACGAGCATTATCAAAACTTGTTTCTGAGCGAAAAATTTGATTCCTTTCAAATTTACTGCTTCTGTTTTTTATTTTGAATTTGATAAATCTTATATCATAATATTTGCAACAACTACTTGCTACTGCTATTAATTATTTTAAATGAACGATTATAAATAATATTTTTTATCTGATATAATGTGCAGCATTGCATTCTACAGCTTTATTTTTTAATCATAAACTTATCCATTCATCCCATCCCTTTCAGGCTTACTTAAAAAAGATCTTTCAATTTCATAAAATTAAAAGATATATTTTGTAGAATATTATATGAAATAAGTATCTCAGAATTAAATTGAAAATGAAAACTACAGTGGATGAAAAGAACAAAATTAAACAGACCAAAATATTGACGACAGTTGTTGGATCTAAGTTTGCACCCCATAGTGAAAGATATCCTGCAATACCAATATCCATCGAAACCATTGCAAATATCACCCAAAATACTATAGCGCTATCAGCTATAAACACTATGCTTACAATAATTAACGCAAGTACTGCTGCTCCTAATGATGATAATGTAGTTGACTGCAATGCTAACATCTGAAATTCAAACTTTGAAGTCGTTACACTGCTTTAGACTTCTAAAAGACGAAAATAAGAATCTGAAAATATTCCCCAAAATGAGAATCAAACATTCTCTGATGAGATTTGCTTATTTTTTTAACTCAGCTAAGTATTAAATGGACTAAGTCTATACTTCTTTATTTTCCTTAGAAGATGTTTCTTATCAAAATTTCAAGAAAATTACATCCGTGCAATTTTTTTGACGCTGTGGTCAGCTTTGCTATTATTTGTTAATATCAGTACTCATTACAATTATTAATATCATTAATAATTGTCAAAAGAATTGTGTACAGTTATTAACAGATCAGATCTGGCATATTACTGTAAGCTTATTACTTGATCTGAGTAGAAATTGTTGTCATCGAAAACAAGAGCTTCATATTTAGCATATCGACTTGTTATATTACGCCATTGTAGCAATAGAGCTGTCCGTGCATTCCAATCACTAATCTTGAAACCAGTCGTGAAGAAAAAACGTTTTACATATTTTTTATGAGGCTGAAATTGTTATCATAGTAATACGAATTTTTTCAATGAATGAAAGTATTATGAGTGGAAATTACACAAATACATTTATTTTTAATATATGAAAAATTATTAACTCAGTTTAAAATACTCTCAAATGAGTATAGAATATTCAATTTTTGAAATGAAATAAATAAAATTTTCTTTTGTTGGATGAGACTCCCATAACAAAGTTGTATTCCAATGTGAGTTGAAAGAAATTTGCAAAAATGATTCGAGAGTTTCGTAGAATTTTTCATCATTATTTTCAAAAAATTGTCGATAATATTGAAATTCTCGAAGCCAAAATTGAGTAGAATTAATTCCAAGTGAGTTTGCTGTATGCTCCAATTCTTCTGCTAATTTAAGCATAATGTTAATCTAAATTTGATTAAATTCATAATTTTTAATTATTATTTATGAATTTTGTGAAAAATATTTTCATGATGTATTTTTTATCTCATTGCTTTCATTCAGTTGTAATCAGAATTCATCTTGTTGAATTTGAAAATTACAAGCACTTCAAGTTTGAAATTAAAATTATAGAAAGCATTCTGACTACAATTGAATACAAAATTATTTGATATTTATACTAAATAGAAAATTTATTGATATATAATAAAATTCATGAAAATTTTTTGCTAGATTGTTAGTGAATTTGGATTAATTTTTTTTGCAAAATTTTTTTATAAAATTCAAAAATTTCAAATACATCAAAAATTCAAAATCTAACTTTAGTTCAGTTAATTCTCAATCTTCAACTTGTGTGATTGATTTTTGATCATGAATTCGTAAAATTTTATTTATCTGCTATGAAAATTTGCCTTTCATTCTTTAAATAGTAGAGTTTATTTTTGATCATTACTGTAATCTTTTGTCTAAACAGATTTTATTATTATTGTTCATTATTATTATCATTATTATTTATTATTATTATTATTATTATTGTTATTATTATCATTGTTATTATTATTTATTATTAATTTTGTCAATTGTGATGATTATTATTGCTATTATCACGTTATTACCATTATTACTATAATATTTGTTCTTCATATTAAAAGTGAATTTCTAAAATGCTATTAAATCTAATAAAAAAAAGACAAGCCTGTTGAGAATCAGTGGAGAAATCAGGTGCATTATTAATATAAACTCTACTAATAACTCCTTCAGGCCATATTTTTGCTTCAACTGTTTCCAGATAGCTAGCCAAAGGGGAATCATCCACCAGTAAGCGACTTGGTGTTAAATTTGGTCTCAAAATTGAACAGCCATAAATTGCACCAAATAAGTAAAGCACATAAATACCAATTAAACTGACCCGTGTTATTTTATGACATAAAAATGGTGCAATGTGTTGAGAGAACAATTTATGCATTGTCGATTGTGAATGCCTTTGTCTTGACTAAAATTTTTTATTTTATTTTGACAAATTATTGTTATTTTTCAAAATTTTTATTTTATAATTTTGAAAACATATTGTAGATATTTGATTTCAAATTTAAATCAAGCATTAAAAATTACTATTTACTGATAAAGACTGATATAAAATGTTGATAAAACTCATTAATTAAACTTAGTTAGTTAAGGTTAATTAAGATTTTAAGTTTTTTAAAATTATTTGATTAAACTCTAATTCATAAAATATGAGTTTAATTAAATTGTATATTTAATTAAATTCAAATTCATAAAATATGTAAACCTGTTCAATGACTTCTTGTGGCATTTTTTTCCACACAAATACACAATGATAGCCAGCAGCTTCACGTTTACCACCAAGAACCATTATACCAGCGAAAAGTGTTACCTTAAAATATTTTTTATCAAAATAAGAATTAATCAAATTTTTATTAATAATAATATTAAATTGTATACTAAGCCCAAAAAATTTTTATTCGGATTGGATTGGATTAAAGGCAGAAATAATGACAATTTTTGCAATTATTATCTATTTTTATCAGAAATGAATAATTATCTACCTGATAGAACCAATCAAAAATAATAGCCATTGCAATGAATTTGCAAAATATTGAGATAGCAGGCGTAGTACTGAACGAACCGATGCCAAAAGACATTAATGAAGTAACTGAAGTCACAGTTATTGCACTAAAATTATTAAACTCTAATTCTTATTTTCAGTAAATCTATTTTCAGTAAAAAATTTTATTTCATATTAAACTATTTAGCATTTTTCATTACTGTAGCAATTGTTTTTTTATTTGCAATTAATAATTCAACTGTAAATTTGTGTCAAATTCATCAATTTCAAGGTTGCATCAAATTGTTTATTCTCATTTATTTTTATTAATTAATAATTTGTCAGTTGCAAAATTTATTATTTTTTCAATACTAATATGTTTTTAATTTGTCTTTTAGCATTACCTGCCAGCTTCTTGCAATGTTAATGCCATCCGCTTGGATGAAGGAAGGATTCGTTTAGTATCTTGCCAAGCCCCTAACATAACGTACGTGTCATCCACGCCAATCGCTAATGCGAGAAAGGGCATGACTGTAACTTGGCTTACGAATGGCTCTCCAATCCAAAATAGAAGTCCTGAGGCACTAAGTATTGCAAATGAAGATGACAGTACTCCCATCAATGCTTCCAGTGGCTTTGATGTAACGTAATCACCTGTCATGCTACAAAAATATTTCAATTATACTGTTTGAATAACTTTTACATGACTATAAATCACGTTATATTCTAAATATTCAAGTTTTACTAACTAAGATTTATATATAATTTATATGTGTTAATACCGGAGATTAAAATCAATCAGGCAAATCATACATTTATTAATATTGATAAAAAAGATTAATAGATCAGTAAATTGCTATGATTTACTATTTAATTTTTCTATTAATAAGTTTGCTTTTTAAATATCCTTTTGATTAATATTAGATTCATCATCCTATATCAAATAAAACTGATACTTTCTCTCTAATTAATTAATGTTCAGTACTTGATCTAATATTTTCAGATCAAAAATTGACCTCTAAGTTGAACAAAGGTTTGCAAAATCTATATTATTGACTTTTAAATTACTAATAAAATACTTACCAAGACAAGATTGTAAAAGCAACCAAAAGCAAAATAGTTATAGAAATAAACGGAAATGTATACAAAGCATTTTTATGCATTTCATTTTTGAGCATTGAAAAGCTAAATATAGTTGTTTTAATCAAGCTGTCTTCTACCGTTGCTAAATATTGTCTTAGAGAAATCTCTAGTGCATCACTGACTGTTTCTGCGTCTTCCTAAAATTTGCCTAATTTGCATAAAGTATTTGCTTTGCATGCATAATATTTCTTCGTGAAGCCTTACTCTCTATTTCAATCAATATGCAAATTTATAAACTGCCAATATTTTATATTTAAGTAAGACAAATATGATCGAATAAGTAGCAATTTGTAAGTTTGATTAGCTACTTTTAAATGATCATTCTGAAAATGAATTTTTGACTTATTTTCAATTAATCACCAATGAATGAATTACAAAGAATATTTCTAGAAGGAAAAAATAATGCCACGTAGAATCCATGTAAATTATAAATGGATATATTAGAAAAAACTTGCATGATCAGTTGATGGTATCGGGTAGTGAAGATGAATGGTTTCGATTGATTTGATACCTTTGGCTCCTCCAAGTTTGACACCATGCAAATGAAAAGGTAAGAAAAATTTGTTATCGAAAAAATTAAGGAATGGATAATCCAGTCGTACTTTCGGACTATTCCACAACTAAAATTCATAATTTTAAATATTAATTCAAATTTTAATTTTGTATTACTGAATGCTTCTACGTCTTCCTAAAATCTTCATTGCATGCCTAATTTGTATTAATAAATTGTTCAAAAATTTATAATTTTAGTCAAGAATTTTTTTTAAATGTAACTTGTTCATATAACTATGGTAAGTGCACTACAGTGATTAATATCTTATCATTAAAGTATTTAATTATTATATTTTCTACGAAAAACACTGTCATGGCATTTTAAAAGATTACTGTACTTATTTCATTATTGTTTTCGATAGGTACTGTTGCAATTACTTATTTATTTTATAAATAAAATTTTAAAAAATATACAAAACAACCTTATCATTCCAAAATGAGTCAAAAAAAAACTGCACAATTGTATTACTAAGTGGACAAAAAGAAGTTCGAATACAAATATCTTTTCCAAAATTATAAGTTTGACCATTTAAAATTACTGTTAAATTATTGAGAATGAAATCATTTAAATGCAATATCTCGTTAGCAAGTTCCTGAAACAATTATCATTTAATATCACTTTCATCGATGATAAAAATGAATATTCTATTACAGTAATAATCTTGCTCTTACATCTAAAATACATCAAAACGAGTAATTTATTCAATAATCACAGTAAAAAAGAAAGCATGAAGTGATTTTCTTCAGCTTTGTCTTCTTGTTTACAGTAATTTTTTCCAATATAAACTTTCTATTTATCATAGCAGTCCTTGTTCTTTTCCATTATTACAGTACTATTTGAATCTGGAATAGCTCAGTATAGTGTATCAGAAATATTCTTTGTTATGGTAGTAAATTCATTCTACTATGGAACCACCATATCTTTGCAGTTTGCTCACTACTTTAAAGTGCTATATTTAGCGTTAAATAGCTACAGTATTATTATCCAAATTGTTTGATTATAGCACCATACATTTTGTATAATTTCGGAAAAATAAAAGAATGACTATTCTGCAGCTTATAATTTCCGAAATTTGGATAATAATATCGCAGATTGCTATCACAAAATAACAGTATACAGAAGCGTACACTTCTAATATATGGAAAGTGAATACTGTGCATACTGTATTTTTTCCGATAAAAAATGCTCTTATTATACAAACAATAAATAATTTGCAAATTAATTCTACCTTTGTCAACAAATTACGCAAATTTTTGCGTGGCTGAACAAGTATTGCCACATGTGTAATATTAATAGAATCACCAGTGAATGACTGATGTATACTGTATTCAAATCTTGCCGGCGAATCAGTTGGTGAATAAAGAAATCTGAGATCATCCTATAATTTTGTATGATAAGATGGAACAATTTGAGTGATTCGATTAATTTGACAATTTTTGTGTTTAGAAAAAAGTTAACTGGTCAAGTTAAGCAAAAAAAAAAAACTTTTTAAATTGCTTTAAATAAATATTTTTTTAAAATTTACATTGTTAGAAGATCAAAAATTTCATGGAAATCAATAAAGACCAAGAGGTCAAAAGTATTTTATAGGGTCATCAAATCAAGTAATAATTTTTCTAACATTGACATTTTAAGATATATTATTGTAAAAGATTCATACGGATTGAGAGGATTATTCTACAAAATTATTATGCTTTTGAGTCTTTATTACTATTTTAGTTAAGAAGTTTAAAACAAATACTGAGGATTATACATGAATAAGAAGTATGAATAATTTTAAAAGGATTATCGCTTATTATTTTTGTTTAATGCAAAGTTCCGTGAAGGAAACAAATGGATGCAAATTATTGAATGAAGTAAAACAAGTCTGATAAACATTATTTTACGACCAATTAGTCAATTAACGTTAAATAACACAAATAAAAGTGACGTGTAAGGATGTAGTAAACAAGAAATAAATAATTAAGTAAAAGCACTTACCTCAATTTTGACTTCAAATATCCCAAGTGAAAGTATAAAAGTAATAACAAATGGTATAAGAATAAAAGGTCGTGGATAGTAGCTAACAATTAAGCCATATTTATAAAATACTTTTGCTAAAAAGTCTTGAAAGAGACCAAAAGGATTCACCCACGACATCGATCTGTTTTGGTGCAATCAATGACCTCTTGAATTAAATGACCTAATTTTCGTGCTGCGCGGTTCCTTCTTTTCTCTTCAATATACCACAAATGGCGTTCTTAGTAAGTGTCATCTCGTTCATACTCTAAACCTGTTTTCTACCCTTCAGAATCTTTGTTTCAGATTCACTACCTGCAAGTTGTATGCTTCTCACTGATTTTGCTCTATTCTTTTTCTACGAAAAACTTGTTTATTTTCTTGTACTCTTTTTTTATGTTTTAAAAAAAAGTAATGAAAATAATTGCAATTTAAATAATTTATCAAAAACATAATAGACAACAAAAAATATCCGTTATATCCATCCTTCCATTCAGTTTTTAGGCAATACTTTCACTAATACTCAATAGTAACACGTTCAAATATACGTAGTAATGAACGTTTAAACACGTAAATCGTTAAATGAAATAAAAAGTTTAAAATTGATGTCCTAAAAGTAAAATAAATATTTATTTGTTGAGTGAATTACAAATTTTTTTCTGTTCAAAAACAAATTATTACAAATAAACAAGTATATGTGTGAATAAATAAGTACAGAAATGAATAAATAATGTCATTAATATATATTTTTTCTTGCGCAAAATGAATAATAAAAACAGTGCAAAAATAAAAAGTATGACAGAATGATAAAAGAACTTTAAAAGAATGAATACTTTTCAGATAAAGTTTCATTAATTAATTTTCTTTTAATATTTTAATATTCAAAACTTTTAATATTTAAAATTTGCATATTCAATTATGATCTGTGTTCAGAATTAGTTTGAATTTGAATTTTTTTCTACTTTTTTAAACAAAATTAAACTATTGGCATGCAAAAGACAGAATTGTTTGTCTTACCTTTTATGATTTTTTGACTGTACAAATTTTTCTTTGTTCAAAAACAAATCATTACAAATAAACAAGTATATGAGTAAATAAGTAAGTAAAAAAAAATTTTTAAATTTAAATTTCTATTTATTAAAAAAATTTAATTCAAAATTTTTTTCACGCATTAAGGCAAAACAAAATATTTATCATAATTATTGATTCTTGAATGTAAAATTTGAGTAAATAATTTATTTGAGAAGAAACGATTTTCAAATATTGATGGTGAAAATATAATCATTTTGTAATATAGAAGCAAAGATTATTAAAAGGCTATTAAATTTGATTTATGCGTGAAAAACGTGAAATTTCAAATTTAACAAGTAAAGAATATTTTGTATTACAACTCGGACCGATAAAACTTTTGATAAAATTTAATTAGTATATTGAGCGAAGTTTCTGTAATAAAGAAAATAATTATTTAGACATATTTTAGTGCGAACATTAATTAACAATGTAGATAAATAGTTTTCAAATATGCCAGAAAATGTTGTGAATAAAAAGAATTTAGTGGAAAATGAAAATAGTTTCATTTATTGCAATTTATATATTTGTAAGAAAATACTAATAAGCAATAAAAAATTTTGTGCTTAAAAGTAAGCATTAAAATTAGTCAGTGATAATAAATACTTTAATATAGAAAAAATAAAAATAAAGTGAGTTTTAAACATTACACAAAATATGCATTACTGTGCAGTATTCAAAATAATACTTTTTTATTTTAATATTTTTTGGGTTATTTCATTCCAAAATACAAAATATTTAATTAACTGATAATTTTGTGAGGAATCGATAGAATAGAATATTTATATTTAAGTGAATTCTAAAATAACCTAAAAATTAAACGAAATTTGAGTTAATAATTTAAAAATGTTAATTGTTTGATCAGATTTAAAGTAAAATACTGTAGTTCTTTACAAAATTTTGATAGAGCACAAAAAATATTTTCTAATAATTTGAAGATAAATTATAAAAATTAATTTTGATGCAAGCATAACTTTATTACTGATTTTTGATAGTAGTAAATAATTATATAAATCATTTTAGTGTGAAGTCTGATTAATTTTCTACGTAACATTTGCAAATGTTTTCAACAAATCATGCGATGAAGTAAATGTATTATTTGTGCTGTTTCACGTAAAAGGGCTAAAAATCTATACAGAAAAATTTTGACTTGAAGAAGATTTTTCAAGCTGCGCGAAACCAGTTTGTGAGCTAAAATTTTGTTAAAAACAATATTTTATTGTTAAAGAGTGAAATATAAAATTATTAAACAATTTTAAAATGCAGTTAGCTCACAAACTGGCTTTGTAGATACTTTTGTAGATTATAGATACTTTATATATTGTAAAAATGTGCATTTATCAGTATGCAGTATATTCTTAATGATTTGTAATCATATTTATTTGATTTGAATTCATTTTATCAATCTTTTCAGGTAAATGGCACGTTCAAAGAATTCATCATTTACAAGATTAATTAAGAAAAAAATTGACAGAAAGAAAAGATAGTGTTAAATATTACACATAGTTTATTTTTAATATTTGAAAAACTTTTGTTAATGTCTGTACAACAAATATCATATCACACGTTCTTGACGTGAAATGCGTGTGTAAAATTACATGCGTGAGTCATTTGGTAAGTTTGCATCACCTGTAACGAAAAATGTTGATACCTTGTTATCACGTTTGTATCATAAAGAATGTCCATATTTAATTACAAAGAATGATCCACCAATCATGCTGATTTTCGATTCAATTATAAAAACATATATCTTTAGAATTACTTCAGACTTATCAAAACTTAAAAATAGGAAAATTGGTACAAATTGCTTTGTTTTCTGATACAAAAATTATCATAATTAAATTGATCTTTTTGTACAAAACCTTGCTACAATTACCTAAGTTTAAATTTTTTTCTACGCAAGAGATCTATTTGTAATATTGGAAAGTAACGAAGCAAAACTATAAGAAAGTAAACAAATGTGTGAGTGCTTAACTTATTTCTTGTTTAAACTAAAAAGCGGAAGTAATGTGTTAGTAAATATTTGAAAAAGTTAAGTAATTTTTGGATTGGTCACTCATATGACTGACTGTCCGTTACATTACTGCATGGCATATTTATTTGTATTTGTATTGCAAATCAAAAATTATCCATTATACTAAATTTTGAATTTTATAAAAATGAGAAAAGAAAAATTATTGCTAAAATATTTTACTAAATATTAAAATTATTATTTGCAATTTTTGATAATTTTTAGAGAAGAATTATTTTTGGATGCATTAAAAGATCAGTAAATAAATGTATGCATAAGTAATCATTTGTATATATAATAAATAAAATTAAAGTGTTTAAATGAAATATATAAGAACGGAAATAAGTAAGTGGTAAAAAAATTTGCTGAGCTTTTTAAAATTAGGTAAATAATGGTAAGATTTAGCAAGAGTAAATGATATTTGTACACAATGTGAGTGGACTAAATGTGATTGAAAAAGACTAATTGCTTACTTTTGTCCAAGAAGGATGGGCTATATGGACATTTGCTATAGGATAAATACTTTCAATGAAGTATAAAATATTCATATTTTATTCAATTTTAATTTCTTTCAATTTTTTATTCGTTATCACGCGAATTTAGAAAGTAGTACTGATTTTGAACGAATAATATTTTCATTTATTAATCAGATTAATTCTTCAATTATCTTTATTGTCTTATATTCTTAATATTCAATCACAATTTTTTTAAATCATTTTAATTTTTGTGTTTTTAATTATTCAGTTTTGATGCATAATAATCAGGCAAGAATACAGTTCAATTGTACAGTGTTGAATAAATTTTGTGACTGATTTTATTTTAAATTTGATAGAGTAAATTAAATTAGAGTGATCTACTGCATATGAATGTTAATTTGAAATTTAATTTTAATTACTATCGTTTAAATCAATTCAAATATGCAAAAACTTTCGCAATTTTTCATTGCTACGAATTATGATTAAAAATATTCTTTGATAATTAATATAAATTTTTATTTAGGTACTAAAGGTATTTCATTTTTGTTATTTTTCATACTTTTTTAAATTTATTAGTGTGCATTAAAAATGTTTGTTTTGTTCAGCACAGCTGCTGCTATCATTATATATTAAAAATTTGCATATTTTAAATGTATTCAAAAAATATACAAGAACTAATGTGTAATTTAGTAATGAAAATATAGTAAAATTTTTAATTTTTAGAAATGCTATTCAGTATTTGCTATATAATACTAACTATCAGTGTTATTGTGATGTCAAATTCAGCTCAGAATTTGACATCATATCCAGGTATAATAATACAAGCTGCTTGTTTCCATATTCCACTTTGTCCAAGCTACGAACGATCGCATACAAAAAGCTTAAAGCCTAGTACGATCTACCATCTTAATAATCTTAATAATAGTCTATTTATTATGATAAAAAACAAGAAAAAGTAATAAAATAGTCATTTTTTATTGTGAAAACATAATTTTTTTTAGAAAACATAAAATACTAAAATTTTGTAATAAGATTATATTTTCTATAACATATTTATATTTTTAATGCTTATTTTAAAATGTACAAATTTTTTTATAGTCTCAAATACAACAACGGCATCAACTACTTCTGTTAGACCTTCTCGAACTCGTCGTTTGATTATTAGAACAAAATATATCAATGACATTACTACACATTTGGCATCATCATCATCATCATCAACACCAACAACAACTACAATATCACCAATATCATTATCATCGTTATTGACAACATCAATTTATTTTACTCCCATTACAACAGAAAGTTCTACTTCTAAAATAGTAAACCCCACGGAAGTGTCGCTACCTTCTGCACCTACAACGTTTGAACAACCAAGCACTACACCACTTCTAAAAACTACCACTACAAAGCTTTTTACATCAAGACAAGAAAAACCGCCAAGTTTGCAACTTTACTTAAAATTTGTATTCAAATTTTAGGTGGTTTCTAAAATGACTTATTACTATTCACCTTTAAATTACGCTATTTTTTCTCAGTTTATGTAATCGAAATTATTACAAGCATACATAAATACATTCTCTTCAATACGATTTATAAATATTATTATATTAATCTTGACTAAAAACATATCAAAACAAAATTTTCACCCAAACAAAATAAATCTTTCAATAGTTAGTTAGTTCTTCATGCCTGATAAGAATTAACATTGTAATGAGTTGTAAAATTTAATTAATTAATATTAAATTTGAAAATACAATATTGCACATCCGTCCTAATCTAACCCAACAAATAATTTCAAATTTTAATTATAGAAATCCGAAGAATTTTGTTTGTATGAAGTCTGACTTCTAATATGTAGTAATGCAACAGTAGAGCATTTTATTTTCAATTGACTACTTTTGTATAAGTGTTTTCAATGATTATTTTGAAGGTGAATTTATTAAAAGGTTGACAGAATTTCAGAAATAAGAAATCCATGTTTGGTAGGTGAACCCTTTATCAGTTCTAATGGTATAACAATGACTTGTAATCAAAAAATGGAAGCAAACGGAGGTTGTCCAGAGCATTTCTGGTGTCATATTGGTGACAATTATAAATCAACTGTATGCTGTCCTAATTTACAACCTGGTTGGTACTTGACAATACTTGAGTTAATATTTTTGGTGATGACGTGTAATTATCAAAATGATAATGTGATAAAAATTTCAGAAGATCGTTGCAAGCAATCCTTGCAAATAGGTACCGGCAGTAGTGATTTAACTCGATGGTATTTCAATACAAAAACTAAACAGTGCATTAAATTTAAATATAAAGGACTTCATGGAAATGCAAATAATTTTATTAGTCAAACGGAATGTGTCACAGTTTGCATTGATGGTATTATTTTTTAGATATCTTGAATAGTTAAACTTTCTGTATTAAAAAAATAAGCTCTATTTTTTAGTATCGTGAAATGAAACAATTTTCAGGACGTGAGGATCTGGTAAATCCTTGCCAATTAGGTCAACCTGCTGAGGGCTTCAATAAAAAGCCATTAACTTGTAGTGGAGAAAATTCATTTTCATGTCCTGAAGGATATTTTTGTCACATTGGTGCATCATCAGCAGAAACAGTTTGCTGCAAGCGATCTGAATGTTAGCTTAACTACTTTAATTTGAGTTCTGATCATTAATTGACTGATTGATCTATTTCATACACTACTTATTTTTTTGAACTGCAATATTTGGCTAATTTTTAAACAACATAAAGTTTTGTAAACTCTGAAGCAAAGTTTGAATAGTATTAATTATTAGAATCAGAATTTGACAGTTGTCTTGTTCAAAATTGAAGAATTTTGAGTTTTCTTATTTTATCAATGAATTTAAAAAACAAAAAATGGATTAAAAATAGTTAAATTAATTTATACAATTTCTAGCCCATGATATTTGTAATTTACCGAAAGATGAAGGTCAAGGAAGCGCAAAATTACGACGTTATTACTATGAGGTCAACTCACAGAAATGCAAAGAATTCATATATCGTGGAAGACAAGGCAATGAAAATAACTTTTTATCTTACGATAAATGCAAACAAAAATGCATGCGTAAGTATAATTGTCTCTTTTTTATAGACAAATTATTTTTTTATTAAATTTAAATTTGCATTCAAAGATATATCAGTCTTTTGCATTTCACTTCCATTCAACGTTTTACTTAGCAAGCCTTTGAAATAGCTAAAAGTTTCAATGCAAATGTCATGCATGAGAGTCAAATACATTTTTGCATGGATAAAATTCAAATATTAGTAATTCCTATGGTTTTGGTGAAAATCATCAAATTTTGATGCAAATATAAATTCAAAATTTTTTTATAGAATTCAAATTTAAAATATGATAATATTTTCATCATAAGAAATCTACAGTAAGCAAAAGCAAGTATTCGAAAGAATAGATAGATCAACTTTGAATAAATAGTACTGCAATTAAGGATGGAATACGGTATGCGAAATATCGAGTAAAGTTTCCGAGCATCAAACTTGTTCAATTGATAATCCAGACTGTGGCTCAGTACAATGGTGTCACATCGGTGCAAATGCTTATTCTACGTTGTGCTGTGCTGGAGGTTTGTTTCAATTTTGAAAATATGTATTTTTTGGTTTTTTAGGGCACGGTTTATTTAGAAACCGTACCCTAAAGAACCAAAAAATTAATTTTCATAAAATTAGGCATTATCTTATTCATTTTGCGTAGTTACCAAGAACATATTATTATAAGAATTGACATAAAATTGCTTTTTTTGCCTACAATGTTTTCTCTCTCAGAGCTATGCATAATATTATTATTTGTGATTATTTACAAATTTAATTCATCCTAATAATATTCATTTTAATAGCAAAATATTTTTTTCAAATTTATAAGTAATCGAAGAGTGATAAATTAAATTAACAACAAATAGATATTACATTATGACCTTTCCAGCTAGATTTAAATAACTGATTTTAATAAATTAATTGTTTTTGTAATCAATTTTTATAAATTCTGACCTGATCAAATTATTTGATCAGTTGGCTTTAATTTGGCTTTTCGATAATCACTGGCATTCTTTAATCAATTCTTCAAATTTTATTCAAATAATGTTAATGTTTTTGACTTGTCTCATAATTATTATGCACATATTTTTGTAATGATGCTGTCACTATAAAAGTATAAGTGTGATAATTTCAGGATAATTGGGAAAATCTAAAGACTTGGATATTCCTTTATTTTTAGTGTTGAGATTTGAATAATTCTTTTTAGTGAGATAATTTTTATGACTTGTTTTCTGTTCAGTTGGCTTTATTATCTTCGTTCCAATTCACAAAAACAATGAAAAGTTTATTAATAGAAGTATGCATAAATGTTGTAGTCGAAAATTGAAAAATGTATTCTTAGTGCTATTTTAGCTTCTGCAAATCCATGTGAATTGCCAGTTGCACTGGGCGAAGGTAATGAAACACTCATCCGATGGTTCGCTGATCCAAGTGATCAGTCTTGCAGTCGAGAATGTAAATCATTTGTATATAAAGGCTTCAAAGGAAATCAAAATAATTTTCTCACTAAAGAATCATGTGAAAAACAATGCAAACGTATGTTCACAATATTTTTTATTAATATTAAAACTTTGATTTAAAAATATATACTTTTTGATATTATCCATTTGACGAATTGAATTTATTTTCTACAAAAAAAATTACATTATTAGGAGCATGTGAAAATCCATGTGCTACGGGAATGATGCTCCTAACATCAGTGGGTACACCACAGTTTTGTTCATCGAGCAACTTTTGTCCACAAAATTACTGGTGCCATTTTGGAGCACGTACGGATACTACCGTCTGTTGTCCAGAAAGTGGTAATTTTTTGAAAGTTACAATAGATTTATTAATTGCTATTGTATATTTGAATGATCCAAAGTTAATGATTATTTCAGGTGTAAATCCTTGTGACCTACCCCTCGTGAAAGGTACTGGTGAAGAAAGCTTAAAAAGATGGTATTTTGATCGAAGTAAGCATCAGTGTGTTCAATTTTACTATCAGGGAAAGCAAGGAAATGAGGTCTGTTTTTAAAATATAATGCAACATTTTTTGCGTAGAACTTTTTGAAAAAATTTGCATAAAATTGTGAGGATTAATTTTTTGAAAAGTTTTCAATCATTTTATATTATATATTAAAGTCATGGCTTAAATGAGTTTATTTTTCTTTCAAAAATATTATTATTTAAAAAAAACTATTAATACGTGGTATGAAATTCAATTAAAATTAAGAGTTTAATTTGAGGTTAAATTAATGGAAAATCAAATAAATATACATGGATTTTTATTTTCGGAATGCTTATTTTTTTAATTGCTAAATATTTATATTTCATTTTTAATTTTCCATGAAATACAAAGATATTTTAATAATTGTGATATAAAAGGTTGAAATGATAATGGGCTGAAAAATGTTCCATTAATTTTGTTTCGTAAGGTCAATAATTAATAAGTTAAAACTAAATAATTTGGTTTGTATTAATCACAGTATCCTTTTTAAGCATATAGTAATTAAATTTTTTGAAGTAAAGGAATGTGTAAGCAGCAAGATAAATTAGTATTATTCGTTTGCGAGCAAAGTACTGACTTGATTGTAATATTGTATTAAAATTACTTAACTACTTAATTACTCTTAATTTACTTATTTATTTTATTTACTTTAAAAAAGGAAGACAAAATTTTCAAATAATATTATATTTATAATTAATACAAATCAAATAAATTTTTGATTAAGTTGAATTGCTTTTAATTTTTTAATTCTTTTCATTAAATTTTGTAATAACTCTTAAATAATAAATCTTAATTGCTTAATAAAATACTTTTTAATACCTTTATAAAATTATGTTGTGAATTTGAAAAAAACTTAATTATTTTACAGAACTCTTTCTTGACCGAAGATGATTGCAAAAAAACGTGTCCTGTTTATCAAAATCCGTGTGGTACTGGTGAGCCCTTCCTGATAAATAATAATCCAAAATCTTGCAATTCAACAGATCAATGTCCAGCTACACATTATTGTCACGTAGGAGCGAATGGTACACAAAATTCATGTTGTCAGAAGAGTAAGTTTTTATCAAAATTATTTGAATTAATAATACGAGTTCAAAAAGTCTTTTAAGTGTAGCTGAAATCGCTAAATGTAACTTTTTACGTTTTTTGTTGAATTCTCATGTTAACTTAAGTATGTAGGACTATTTCTCACGAATTCAAATTTAAAAGCATAATTCTTTTTTTGTAAATTTATATCAAAAAATTATAGTCGGGGATCCTTGCAATTTACCGATGAAACAAGGAGAAGGCGAATCATTGTTATTACGATATTACTACGATAAAGAAAGTGGTAGATGTCGTGAATTTGCATATTTTGGAGTCAAAGGCAATGAAAATAACTTTTTAACCGAAGAGGCGTGTGAAGCTATGTGTCCTGGTAAATTTTGTCTTTAAGTTTATATATTGTAATATTTTTCAGATACTTCAAAATTTTTCATCATTTTAATCATATTTTTCAATAATTGTAAATTGCCATCTAAAGTATTAATTTTTAATTATTACAGTAATACCAAATCCGTGTTTAAATGGTAAACCACTCACAAATTCTGAAAAGGAGCCTATCATATGTGGAAGTGGGGAAAGTTGTCCTGATAACTATTTCTGTCATATCGGTGGCACGCCTGAAACTACCAATTGTTGTTTAGGATGTTTGCTTTTTTGCTATCTTCAACTTCATTTTTATATAAAATCCTAAAATTTCATTAGCTTAATTCAAGTTAAATTATTTAAAAAGATACTACAGTACTAAAAAAATCGTAGTAATTTATTTTAACTGTACAAGATTTATGCTTAAAATTTGGGATTGATTCATAAAACTAACAAAAACATGAAATCGCAATTTTTACAGTAATTATAATTCAATATACCAAAATTTATACTTGTATCATAACTTTCTACTTCATTATTAATTAAAAGATTTATAAGTTAACCTGTACTGTAGTAAATAAGGAAATTTTTGTAGCTACCGATGCCTGCAATTTACCATTAGAAACTGGTAAAGGTATCGAACAATTAGATAGATGGTACTTTGATAATAACACTCAGATGTGTGCTAAATTTACATATTATGGTCTTCATGGCAATGCAAACAATTTTATCAGTCGGAAAGAATGCCAAAAAAATTGCAAAGGTTTGGAATAATAATTATTATACAAAATAATTTTTGGTACATTATTTCCCGCTGTGCATTTTTTGCAACCAGTGCCAGTGCTATTCAAATATTTTATAACCTGACATTATTTGAATAAATTCCAATAACTGCCATAAAATTGCAGCAAAAAAATAAGTCAGTTTGGATAATTTATAGTATTTAGTTTATTATTCTCCCTATTTAGCTTTCAAACAAATTTTTGAATGATAAAAATGAAACAGTGATAACAGTGATTGTATCATATCCGTTTTATCCATTCATTGATATTACTGAGCAGTAATAATTAAATTATTATCCATTAATTGTACCATATTAAATACAATTTACAGCATTGAAAAAATTAATTGGTAAAAATTATCTCTTAATTTGTTTATATCGCATAAAAATTTAAAAATAAAACAAAAATTAAATTAAAAAAAAGTATTAAAATAGATTTTTTTAATAATTCAGAAATTAATCCATGCGGATTTGGATCGCCTCTAACAGATGAACTAGGAAATCGAATAGCATGTAATCTCAATCAATCAATAAGCTGTCCAAGCGATTATTATTGTCATATTGGATCATCACCTTCAACAACGGAATGCTGCCCTCGACAAGGTAAAATTTAACAACTGATTAAAAATTTTAATATTTAAACCATTACTACTTCAGATGGAACCTTTTGGTTTTAAAGAATTTGTATTGCTTGACTTCATGAGAAAAACCAAAATTAAAATCAAAGTATAACAAAATTTCGAGGTGGTAATCCATGCGAATTGGCGTTATCTATCGGCTATGGTAATGAAGCGATTCCAAGATGGTACTTCAATATTCATCGACAAAAATGTGCCGAATTTGTATACGGTGGAATGGGTGGCAACGAGAATAACTTTGTTTCAAGAAAGCATTGTGAAGAATTTTGTAAAGGTTATTTTTTAAAAATAATTTTCATCATTAATTAAATTAATTAATTACTCTTATACAGAACAACATTTAATGCTTAGATTATGATTATGTAAGTAATGAACTTTAATGAAATCACTAATAATAAGATTAGTCGATGATATTTATCAAGCAAACACTGATAAGTCAAAGTTAAGCTGTTTACAATTTTAGTTATTAAAGTTTAAAAGAATTATTAATGAAGTTTTATCAAGCAGAAATTACATGAGTAATTTTTCAATGGAAGTTAAAAAAATGACAATATTCAAATATACAACAATAAAATATAGCTATAACAGTTAATCCCCTATATTATTGACAAAATTATTTTGATTAATTTCTTGATAATACTGATTATTCAGTAAGTCAAGATTACTGTCCACATGGTGAACCATTAATGGAAGCATCTGGCAAACGATTAGCTAAATGTGGAATAGATAAAGCTTGTCCAGTTGGATTCATCTGTAATCTAAATGTTAAGAAAAATACTACTGCATGTTGTCAAGTAAATTTATAATTCATTATTAATAAAAAAATTTCATTTTCAATTTTTAGATTACAAGAACTTTTTATTTTAGTGAAAGAGTAGACTTTTTAAAAATTTGATTACTTTAGGATCCAGCAAATTTTTGTCTGCAGCCAATGGATTCAGGTCCATGTGACGAATTTGTGACAAGATATGGCTATGTTCCTGAGCTAGATAACTGTATTGAATATCAGTATGGTGGTAAGCACTTGGCTAATTCTTTGTTTTTACTTTATTACTTTGTTATTATTGAATTTAAGTAATAATCTGCAGTTCATAATTGAATATACAAAATTTGGCCATATGTGAATTTAAAAATGGTGGAAAATTATATTGTTAGTATATCAGCAGAATAGCAAATCTTTGGTAGATTAATTATTTAGTATGATAAAATCTTGGGTGTTCTTGCTTTTTTGAATTTAGTGTTACTATTTCTATTTTAGAATAATTTTGATTTTATATATTTTTACGATTTTTTAGTTCATTATATCTAAATAAATAATTAAATGAATAAATAATAAATATTAAAAATGTAGAGTTGTAGTAGGATAATTGCAATATTGAGATCACACTTTCGATGCACTATAAATCTGTACAGTTGTCTGTAAATTTTGAACAATGTATTAGGTTAGAAAGATTTGCGATCACTATGACCTAGAAATTATTCACGTACGTTATTTAAATAATTATGCCTAATTATAGTAGATTTAGACTTGCCAGAAATGCCTAAATAAATAAAAATTTTCAGGTTGTGGAGGTTCCCTGAATAATTTTGAATCATTAGAGAAATGTACCGAAATTTGTTGCAAAAATGATTAAACTGATAATTTATTACTTTGATTCCGCTGTCATTTTGTCTACAAATTATGTGCCACTTGTTTAATTGTTAGCTGTTTTTGTTGATTTTTTGTTTGAGAGAAAATAGCACTCACTCTTAGCTACTAATGACAGTAATTAAATTTAGTTAACTTTGACAATTAATGATAACAATGGATAAATATTGAGCAATCAATCAATTGAACTACATTATCACAGGTATAGAAGTAATTAGAGTTATTAGTAGTTTTGTCGGTGTTATCTCAGTTTTGTCTTAATGATTACCGGAATTGTCTTCTTGCTTGTATTCATCAAACTGAGATCTGATAACAAGCTATCTTACTTAATTCTGTACAATTATTATCTGAGATAGCTTATTATCAGTTGAAAAAAGTTGTGCGCTACTTAACTTATTGATATTTTGTTACATTTATCAGTGATATATTTCAAACATTCTGATTACTTTCGTGTAAAATTATACAATTCGAACTTTACCGTACAAAATGCGATAAAAATTTTGATAACTGTCTCAGTTCATAGTCTGAAATTTTGTTTGTTCAAAGAATATTTTTCGGTAAGTATAAATATGACCTTTTGACCATAGCATTTGCAAATTTGACCTTTTGACCATAGCATTTGCAAATTTTTATGATAAGAACCTTAGTCTTTTTTATGCAATAAGAGAAAATGATAATATAGATAAAGATTCTGTGAAAATTATAACATTAAACGCAATATTTTTGAATACAATATCAAAGTTTCTGACTTTTATAAAAATCGTTAAAATAATTGTATAAGAAACAAAATGAAAAAAAGTGATATTTTTGATTACTGTGCAAAATTCATAATATAATTTATTGTCAAATACGGAGTAGGATCAAAATCATCATTTTTTCTGGGATATTTGACTGCAAACAGTTTTTGTAACCAGAAACGTCAGTAATTTAAAAACAAATCTTAGAAGCAAAAAACTAAAAAATATTAAACAAATATTTATAATAAATTACTCAGCCATTATTCATGCTCGACATGATAACATTTTTGATAATTTAGCAATTGTTGATGTCTTACTGGAAATATTTCCAATTATAACAAAAATAACAAGAATTATAACCAGAATTTGCTACCAGAATTATTAATGGCTTAATGAATTTTAAAAAAATTTCAATCATTACAATTAACAACACTAAAACTGGTTATTAATAATAATTTGCTATCAGTGATTTTGGTATCAATAAACAATTATTGAAAATTGATCAGTGTCGATTTGAAATGATCCACTAATCCTAATTATCATAACTGCAAAGATTTTTGGCAGAATGTATGAGAACAATAAAAATTGTATAAAGTCAAAATTTGCAAAGTTAGAAATTTTATTAAGCTGATTAGTAGTAAAAATAATTTTACAAGCAAAGGTCATGAGGAAATTAAAAGTAAAAATGTGTGAGGATTTGTACTGAAATTAAAATTACACTATATATGCAATATGGCATAAAATTTTTAAACTTTTCATTTATTATTACCAAATGAAATTTCAGTTTTTTGCAAAAATAACACTACAATTTTTTGATTAATATTTAATCATATTTCAATATTAATTTATGCATGCGACGATAATTGTAAATTGATTATTCATAAAGCCTTGATTGTATTTTTTTTTTAATTTGGAGATTTGAAGATTGACTGATGCAAATGTTGCTGAAAAATTAATATTATAATTAGAAAATAAAAAATATTATTATTAATTTGCATGTAATTGGTTGAAAACAAAGAGCAATAACAATAACAATAATAATAATAATAATAATAATAATAATTTTACTATCAAATAGTTAAAGAAAAACTGAATATTATAAAATTGTAAGCCTAATTAATGTAAGGAATAAAATAAAATGTAAAATGTGACTTGCTAATTAAATTACTGCTTTCTAAGGAAAAAATTGTCAGTACAGTTTCTATATTTTTAATTTCGTTTCTGCTGATTACACTAATTAAATTATAAAATTTTCACTGAGTTTAGTTAAAATCTTTTTAAATTTAAAAATGAAAATAAAAATGAAACTTAATAATTAAATTATTGCTTTCTATGGAAAGATTTTCAATACTATTTTTTATTTTTGTTTTTGTTCATTGCATTAATTAAATTATAAAATTTTCACTGCGTGTAGTTAAAATCTTTTTAAATAATAAAAAAGAATCAAAAAAAAAAGAAAAAAAATAAGAAAAGTAATGTAAGAGCAAGAAAAAAGTGATAAAACTTGATTTGTAATTTTAAAAAATTTATTCGAAATATTTAACAGATAACTTGTTCTGTCGTTGGTCTGAAGCAAAGTATGAGCTAATAAAAATGAGTTTTTAATTAGTTTATACAATTTTTCCTTTACAAAACTTATTGCCAAATTCGACAGTTATTTTGTATTGCAATTTTTTACAGTCTCAGTGAAGTAACATTTTATCGCTTCACATATTGAATTTTATCTTAAAATCATATGCGCAATGAGCTGGACATTTTGATTATTATTTGCATTAATTATAAAAACAGAAATTAAATTTTGTCCAAAATTAAGCTGAAATTTTGATGGTATTTTGACATATTTTATTATAAACTTAAACTTTTTATTCACTTTGTTTCATTCATTAATTTATTCAGAAAATAAGAATACTTGTCATTCTAAATGCAGTATGCAACGCTCCATGCGGTGCTATGTTCCCTTCATTGAATATTAAATTAGAGGAGCAGTTAATTTTTTGGGATAATTTTTGATCTCTTTTTGAAATGTAAGATTAATTTTAATTTGAATTAATTTAATTTTGCAATTAATTTTAATGAAATTTGAAATAAAAACGAGAATTGTAATGAGATTTAATAGCTAATTTCATGTTGATTTTGCATTTTCTTATCTTTTCATACTGAAAATGACTTTTATCAGTTTCAAGTTCGTACATTTATTTCCCATAAATATATATTAACAAATACGCGCATTTTTTTCTACTAAATGATTTTGGTTAATTTCTTATTAAATATGATTTCTGATTTTTTTCAAGTTATTAGGTAAATTATAGCTTATTAATTGTAAGTTATTTCTAAAGCCCTAACGAAGACAATAGATATGAATTTTGAATAATAACTTTTTGAAATGAATGCAGATGCTATGGCAGCCCTTGGCATATGATTACATATAGCAGTAAATTTTAGGCAAATAAATTGGTCGATGGATCCAGCGGAGATTTAGTTAATCCATCGGTGCCAGGTAACAAGTGCCTCAATAATGTATAAAAAGCAATCAACCATTTTACCAAAATATCCCAATTTAACGAATTATTTTTTCCATTTTCATATTACAAGCTGAAATATGCACATATTTTTAGTTCATTGATGAATTTGCATAACTTTTACATTTGAGCACGCATGAATTTATTTTACTCCGACTAATTAAGCTTTATGATATTTTATTATACAAATTAAAATTAGCAACATTAGCAACATGAATAAGACTAATTTAGAATTAAGAAACTAAAAATTTTTGTAATTTTATTAGTGACAGTAATTTAGCACAGTTTGAGGTCTTTAGTGAAATTACAACTTATTTAAATATTAATCTAAATTCTGTTTATTTATCTATTAACTATGTTTCAATAACTCCTTGCTTACTTTCTATAACTCAAAAATGAGCCTTCCTGATTTAGCAGTATTCAAAATTCCCATAACATTTCTGTTTGTAAATTTGTCATTTTTTTAAAAATAAACTTGAAATGGAATCCTAAATTTATCTAATTTCAGTATTGCACAATAAATTGTGCATCAAACTGATATTTGAACAAATTATTTATTATTTGTGAAAGCAAAAATTTAAAATTATCTATAAAATGTATTTTATCTCTCCCAGTTTGTCATATAAAAATTAATAATTTTTTATACAAATACAGTAATTTCAGACTAAAAATATTCTTTAATCAGTGTTGCTTAGATAGATTTATGTGATATTAGTGAAAACCTCTCCTATGCATCATTACATATTTGATCTCATTATTACAATTTACTTCGAGTAAAAATTTAAAGTCTTCCTAAATTTGACTAACAATAAGAATTAAAATTGAAGGGAAATTTGCTGAAACAAGAAATAGTTTAAAGTTTAGGAAATTTTTTCAGAGACATTAAAATTCTGCAAAAGTTCTTAAATTTATTTCAAGCAAAAATTTGTGATTTAAGGCTCTTTTATCAAATACTGTATCATTTACTGTATCATATGTGTCAATTACTACTTTGGATAAGATAATAATCGTTCTAAAAATTATTATTATCAATTCAACATTGTAACATAATCATTTTTTTAGTTAAATAATCTATTCAAATTTTATTCGAATTTAGTACAGTTTGAGTAATTGACAATTAAATGTTATGACATTTCAGATAACATTTCACTTACTGTTATTCAAAATGTAACGG